TCAGTTTTTGGGTTTCTCCTAAGAAGTTATCATATCTCAAAATGGAAAGTTGGGTTAGGGTTAGGGTTTGGGTTGGTGTTAGGGTTAGGATGAGGATCAGGATCAGGATGAGGATGTATATTTTTTCACAATTTAGAAATGTTCATGGAAACTATATAGTGATTCTTCCAAGAAATGAGGGATGAAGCGTGTTGTCGCTCAAAGACTGAATTGAACCATCTCCTGTTTGAGCCATTAAAAAACAATGGCATGTCAAGTTTTGTTTCTTGGCCAAGCCTAATTCCATTCAAGGACACAGAGATGTTTATGGTTGCTTAATATTTAACCATAACGTGATTGTCAATGTGAAGAGATTTCATTTTTATAATTCAAAAACTAAAAATCTGTCAAACAAAAATAAAATAGAATAACTAATAATGGACATTGATAATTGAGCACTTTAAAGTTTGGCTTTCATATATGAGGGGGTTAAGTTTATTTCTATTTTATCCAGCTTTTATAATTGCTGTAGTTTTATATTTTTGCTTTGTTAACATTAAAATGTCTCAGTCAACACTCCAAGGCATAATAGTGGTCTAACAAAAACAGCTATGATGGAATTACATCTGGTATTGTTAACTGTTTTCTTTTATTGGCACCTGTTGTGTTGACTATAGATTTAAGTTTCAGTAATCATAGATTTCTAACTTGATTAGTAGTCTTCTACAATTTCCCAAAGCCAAAAGAGATCATTCATAAGACCAGGTCTTCCAAAATTACTTGGTAATAAGAAAATTTATATACTTATACTCTAGACTTTACTAGACTGCTACCTTCAGAATGTGTTGTACACCCTCATCATGTTTTGTGACTTGAAAAGCACTGTGATAGAGAAGATTGGCATGTTCAGAAACAAATAATGAGAATGTAAAAATTCAACATTGAGAGCTTGCTATCTTTCTGTTGTGGGCCAAAAGAAGGAACCGATTTTTTGTTCTTTTAACTGCTTTGGCAGATGATGGTTTCTATATAATTTAAAATACCCTTGAGCTGATAGCATGAGAGATGTTATCTTACATAGATTAAAACTACTACTAATTCCCAAAGGGCTTAAGGGAAGATTGCAAACCACCAAACATTTCAGGAAAAATAACTTGAGGGCAGATCCCACGATATTTTTCTCCACTCAGATGCTCCTCAGATACTAATGAGAAGGATTCCTAATTCCTGCCCCTCCTGTGTTGAAGCACCCTCAGAACTGCTCTAGAGATCTGGAAGAATTTGATGGGAGAAGGATAGTGAACTAATTCATTATGCCATTAAGTAATAATGGCATAGAATAGTCATCTTAAAACTATTCCTTTCTTTTCTATGTTTTGAGAAATCTGATGCTAATATGTATTGCTATAAGCTTCCAAACATTAATGCATGATCCATTGTATGACGCTTCTTTTTTAGACATGTACACAATTATTTTTCAGAAATAGAATTTCCTGACAAAACTGGAGGTTTTTAAGAAGAGATTGGACTGTCACTTGTCTAGAATGGTACAGGGTTTCCTGCTTCAGCAGGGGGCTGGACTAGAAGACCTCCGAGGTCCTTTCCAACTCTTGTTATTATATTCTGTTGAATTGAGTCAACTCTATAATTAATTTCCTAGCAAATCAGTGCATGCTGAAGAGGAAATAGTTGACAAAGTTCAAAATTATCTGGATTGTATCTGGATTTCACTTAAAACCTCCCAGAGCTTAGCTGCACAGGGGAAGTAAAGATACATCTGCAATATAACTTAAACCACCTTTTAAATTCTTCTTTGTTTTTCTTCTCCTTCTTCTAGGAACCCAGGCCTTTATATACTAAAAGGTGCCAGTATTATACAAGTGGAATTGGATACTTATTTGATGCCTACCAGACAGAGGTAAGCTATTATGTTTAGATTAAGATCTGGCTTTGTACAGAACATGGAAAGGTGACTTACAAGGTGACTGTTTTTTTTAATCTCAGCACTCAATCACTGGAGATTTACTTTCTGTATTTTGGCAGCATAAAAATGCTATTGTATGTGTGGCAAGAATATTTGCTTTGGAACTGAAGTTCATTTTATTCTTGTTACATAAATGATTTGTTGGGAAATGCCATTGCTCTTTTCCTGCGGATGTTTGTGTGGAATGACATTCGGTCAGATGTACCCAAGTTACCTTAATAGCTGATGATTTATATTGGCCCCCAAACTTCAACTTTTAATTGTAATAACCTGACAAAATCCAAGAATGCCTGCAGATACTATCTGGAGTCCTTTTGGTCTTCAGCCAAGGACAGGAGCAGTCAGGCACAATCCTGGGCCTGAAGTAACATTTTGGTTCCTGTTACTCTCAGGAGGTGGGGGGTGGTTTTTTTTTGGCTGTTGTTTTGTTTTGGCAGAGTATACTTCCAGCCTATTGAATAAAGATACACATAAACAAAACAGAAATAGGATGTGTGGGGAGGGGGGGAGGGGAAGCAAGCCCAGGAGAGAATCTAAACTTATCCTATTCAATGAACTGTTGTTTTCTGAGAAATAAAATTAAAGCCTCTTTAACATAAGTTCCTCTTGGCTTCTAGGTGCTCACGAAGAAAGAATTTTTCGAAATGACCATCAGAGCATTAGTATTTTGTATATTATTATTAACATGCTCTGATGCTAAGGAGTGCTACTCCCCCTCCCACCTGAAAAGAAATCTGTTCCAAATGCAAAACACAAGTAGAGAAGAGGAGTTTCAGGTCCAGTTTTAGCTTCACAGCACCAAGCAGCTTTAGTACAGAACAGTTGAGCTAAGCCACGCCCAGGCTCCTTGCTGTCTCCTTCTTGCTCACACATCAAATAGTTTCAGTTTCAAAATAGCCCTCAATTCTCTCACACACTGACAGAACACTAGCCAGATGAATACCGATGGATGCTGGTAGACAGAGGCAGATTTCCCCCTCCCTTATTTCCCCCCCAAAAAACTAAGCCCGACCAAATAGTTTTGTAGCAAAGCACAGGTATCGAGCTAGTTCTGCATATATTGATATTTAATGCTCTGGCAGCACCCTGTTTCTGAAGTTTGTTTGTTTGTATCCTGCCTGTAGTCCTTTTACAAATAGCTCAAGGTTTATCATTTGTCTTTCCTTTACAAGATACCTCACTAGCCCCTATACAAAGCAACTTTGATCTCTAGCAATTTTTATTTATTCAGGCAGTTTTTTGTTCCATGCTTAAATACTCAGCAAATATGGAAACCAATACAATGAACAGAATCTGCCATCCTGAAAATTGACCGTTTTCCTTATGTTCCTACCCATTTTGGCTGGACAGCCAATGGCTTTTACCTCAGGAGCCCTGAACTCTGACATCAATTCTCAGGATGCATTTGAAGATTCACCATCATTGCTCTTAATTTTTCCACACTCTGTCTAAAACATGCAGGCCTTTAAAAAAAATAATCAAGATGGTGGCTGCAACAATCCGATGAATGCAGTGCCAGTTTTTCTGTGCCTTGTCTGGACATCACAACTACTGTCTTTACTTTTTTTTTTAACTATAGCTTGCAGACAGCCCTGGCATCTTTGAAAAGCAGTTACATAGATCTCTGTGGAATTCATTTATGTTATTAATTTTTCATATGGAATTTGAGGTTTTGCACATCTGCCTTAGTCTATTAGCCTCCTATTTTGTCACACACGATTGATTTTGCAGCGTCTGTGAAATGTGCTGTTTCCAAAGCTAGTGTTGCAAAATGGGGATTGTAGAAGGAGTTAATAGGAAGTAAATAAAGCAGAACTGAAAATGCAAATAATGCATTTTGCAAAGCTCCATATATGCATCATTGCTTGTTCTTTTTGTTTCTTGGGACTTACAGGAATCACAATGCTTAATAATTGCAAAAACTTTAGACCTTACAAGATAAGCTCTCTAGGAGCCCAGCTGAATTCCGATCAAGTGAAGGAGCCTAATCCAAGAAACAACAATGAAGAAATGAAATCCTATTGCTCGGGAAACAATTGCTGCTTCCCAATCATGCTTCAGAAAACTGAGACTACTTCCCATCTTGGATCAATTCTAGAAAAAAAACAACGAGGAAGGGCAAAGGATTCCATTCCTGGAAAAATGATTCACTTTCCCTTTATTGATGAGGATAGGTTTTCCAGAGTTGAAAACTAATGTAAAAACAATGGATCAAAGAAAGTAGGGATTTCAGAGCAGCTCAGAGCTAGCCTACATTTATCTCTTGCCACTGCTTGAAATTGGATGACTTTAAAAACAAAAACAAAAAAAACAGAAGCTGTAAATTCTCCTCCTTCCTCATTTCTTACCTATTGTTTCTCCCACCGACAAGATTCTCAGCTGCATCTTTGCTCCATCTGTGAAACATCTCTGGGGTTTAGGCAGGGGTGGGATTCAAATTTTTTAACAATCGGTTCTGTGGGTGTGGCTTAGTTGGTGGGCATGGCTTGGTGGTCATGTGACTGGCTGGGCATGGCCAACTCAACATCACTCACATTGAGGCACGCTTCTCCTTGCCTGGCCTCTCATGACTGTGGGGATTCCGCAATAGTCATAAGTGTGAAAAACAGTCATAAGTCACTTTTTTCAGTGCCATTGTAACTTTGAATGGTCACTCCACACCAGCAAAGTACCAGCAAAGGAGAGGGAAAAAACTCCAGAGAAATTCCTGAGACAGGAAGTCTAGTCCTGCCAAGAATGTAATAAGGGTTAACGGAGAGGAATTTCTGTAAGCAACACCAGAATGTTTCCTTCCTGCCTTCCTTACAGGATTAGGCCAGTAATTTCTTCTAACAACCGGTTCTCCGAATTGCTTAGAATATTAACAACCGGTTCTAGCGAATAGGTGCGAACTGGTAGAATCCCACCCCTGGGTTTAGGATTGTGTCTGGCCAGTGTCACTGATTACCATATATTATAGTTTTCATTCCTCCTATCATTTTTTCCTTCCTAAAAATCAAGAGTACATGACAATAAATTACATAATGGCATAGGCTCTTAGACTTGAATGGGCCAAGTCCTGTCAAGGCAAGATCCGGCTGAAAGCATCCCTAAAAGATGGCGGTTTAGCATTCAAATAGTTCAATGTTGGAAGCCCAACTTCTTCCTGGATAACTTATTATCACACAGATTTCAGTGGATCAAAGTCCCCTTATCCTCAGTATATCATACAGATATATAAAAATATCTCAGAACATTGTTTGTTAGTCATTGAGAGTCAATTTGGTGTAGTGCTTAAGGCAGTATTTCTCAACCTTAGCAACTACTATAAGAATTCTGGGAGTTAAAAACCACTCATTTTAGAATTGCTAAGAATGACAGACCCTGAGTTAAGGTATTGGGCTAGAAACCGGGAGACTGTGAGTTGTAGTCCTGTCTTAGCCAGCTCCCTCATTCCTAAGAATTGTGGTGGCCATTGTAATGGCAAACTACTTCTGCAACCTTGCCAAGGAAACTGCAGAAACTACCCCAGGCAGTCACCAAGATACAAGAATATCTCAAAAACACACACTATTAATAGCCTCTTCTACATGTTCTGGGCATTTCCATGCTGTTAGTAAGTATTATAAATTGTGTCCTCAGAGACAGCCATTCATGTAACCAGGAAACATGTTGGGGACTTACAGTTCAACCAGAGTTAAACAGGGAAACCATCTAAGAATCCAGATTGTCCTCAACTTTGCCTTTTCACCAGTTATATTTGATACATTAGTGAGGCCCAGGTAACTAGCCTAGCGAGGTTTGCTTGTCTTGGAAGGTGAGGTGGGGTGAGGAAGGAATTTCTGTGAGGCAATTTCTTTGGAATTTCTGTGAAGGCCTTTCTGTTCTGGCGAAGGACAACCCTGTTCAAACACTTTGAAAGCAAATTTAGCAGTACTTTTTTCTACGCTTCCAGTGGCTCCTGGTTGCCCATCCATATAAGAAGAGGTTCAGCACAGTGGGTGGCACTAATAATTATCAGTTGCCTTCTCTTTACAGGTGACCTGTTATGCCTTAAATAACAAATGCCAGCTGAAAGTGAAAAGTAACACGTGTTACTGCTGTGATTTATATAACTGTGAAAAGTAAGTATCTCTTAGACCAGGGTTAGAGCTCTCAAACTCTGATCCATGGACAGTACCAGACTGGTACATGGCCTATTGGGAACTGGACCATGCAAGTGGTGGGCAAGCATGCAAAGCTTAATTTGCACATGCATAGGAGCTAGGTCCATGGAGCCAGGACACTGCCTTAGATCAACCCTTCCAGCTGTGGACAGGGAGAAGGGAACTGTGGTGTATGTTGCCCAGAGTCACTTTTTGTCAGATGCATGGCCATATAAATTTGATAGCTAGCTAGCTAGCGAGATAAATATATAGAGATAGATAGATAGATAGATAGATAGATAGATAGATAGATAGATAGATAGATAGATAGATACAGATAGATAGATACAGATAGATTCTTAATTTCTAAGTTTCAACTCAGGTATTTGACAGTAGTAAGTGCTCATGAGAAAAAAGAGGAGCCACTGCCATTGCTTACTTAATCCTAACCTACCCAACCCTGGATTTGTAAGTTTTTTGATAGAATCCAAAGAGAAATACAACTTGGCCCAGGGGCATCAACTGAATGGATAAGCCCCAGGTTCTTTGTTAAGACGTACCCTCTCTGCTTGCTCTGTAACCATAGTCCTTTTCAAACAAATGCTCTGTTTAATAGTATCATTCATTTATTTTTGCACCTGTAGCTCAGATACTTTTTACTAGGTAGGGAACCTAAAAACACATATACACCATGTTTAAACCTTCCTGTCCCCCGAACCTTATTTATGAAACATGCCTTAAAACATTAATCTCAAGGATGAACTTAAGTTGTTTATGAAACATGGCGATAATGATTTAGGATCTAAAAATTCACAGATTCATTTGCACAAAATCCCTTATAAGGTTTTTAACAAGTCATCAGGATCTGGTATTACACCCTTCTAAATGTCATTATATTAAGCAGGAGTTTTCTAGATTGGGTGGAAATAAAATTAAGTTGGTGCATTTCACCATAACTGGTGGTAGAGTTGCTCCTTCCCATCCTTCATAAGGCACCAGGCTAGAGAGAAGGAAACTATGAATTAAAGTCCCTCCTTAGCCACAAAAGTCAGCTGAGTGCTTTTGCAGCCAACCCACTTCTCAGGGTTGCTGGAAAACTAGGAGGAAGGTGTGTTGGATATATTTGTCACTTTGAGTTGTTTGTAAAAATAATAAAGGCGGGGGAAATTATTAAATTAAATTAATAAGAGTTAAAACCAGCTTCTGTCATTAATTATCAGCTTTTCCCTTGTCCAAGATAGGAAATCTAAATGCATTTTGCTTTGGATCAAAGTTAGATAAGTATGGGAAAGCACTTTCACTGAAAAAGTAACAACAAATAAACTTGAATGACTCTATAATTAAGGGAAAGGTTATTCAAATTGTTGGATTAACATTTTTGTTATGACAGTAGTTTATACATTTATTGGTTTATCCAATCTATATGGCCACCAAATGACTCAGAGCAGTGAACAATGTTAGAATACAACAAAAACAATTGTAAACATTACAAAAGTTAAAATGCAAAGTGGCTGAGCAACGTCAACTAAAATCATGAGCACAACCAATACGCTGATCTCTGTACTCTGTAAACCCCAGGCATAGAAACATGTCTTCAGAGCCTTAGGAGAGGCCAGCAGGGTTGGGTCCATCCTCATCTCCTGGGTGCTATCTGAGAAAAGACATGACTTCTAGACATGCCAACTAGCGTCCTCTATTCAACAAGAGTCAAAGCAGGTCCATCCTGCTGGACCAGATCAGAAGAGTAAAACAATTGGGGAGGGATGGTTCCTCAAGTAACCCAGTCCAGTGGTGGGATTCAAATTTTTTTAGTACTGGTTCTGTGGACGTGATGTGGCTTGGTGGACATGGCTTGGTGGGCATGGCAGGGGAAGGATACTGTAAAATCTCCATTCCCACCCCACTCCTGGAGAAAGGTTACTGCAAAATCCCATTCCCTCCCCACCCCACTAACTTGCTTTCCAGCTCCATTCTCCTGTACAGGGCAACAAAAGAAGACTCAGCTGGGACTCGGGAGGCAGAGAATAGATGAAGGTGGCTGGCCAGTCAAAGGTGATATTTGCCGGTTCTTCAAACTACTCAAAATTTCCACTACCGGTTCTCCAGAACTGGTCAGAACCTACTGAATACCACCTCTGACCCGGTCCCAATCCACAAAGACCTTTAAAAGTGACAACCAGTACCTTGAATTACATTTGGAAGGGTATTGGCGGCCACTGTGGTTCACAGAACATTGGGGTATGTGTACTGAATACCTGGCAGCATGTACTACTCGCATTGCTTCATTCTGTGCCAGTTGAAACTTGCAGGTGCTCTTTAAGGGCAGTCCTGTGTAGAGCGCATTCCAGTAATCCAGAAAAGAGGCCACAAGAGCATAACGGTAACAAAGATTTCACTATACAATGTTTTCCAGCGTAAAAATGTGGATTTAAAAAAAATGTATTCCTCCTTAAAACTAAAAATGTTTTCGCATTCTTTGTATTTGTCTCATTAAAAATAAAACATATTTAGCACTCTGCTATAGTTTTTAATCCTAGGCATCTTGCCAAGTTACCCAGACAGATATTGTTAAAGTGGGGACAGGAAAAGAAGGAAGTAGTACATTCCAACAGATGTGATTTCAAAGGAAGAACTACAATAAGAGAGAAGGGACAAGGCTGGAATGGCACCATTTTGCTTTTCATCAGGTGTTAAAGCTCTGATGTCCTGTTTCCAGCTCAGAACACTCTACCAGCTATTATGAATTCCTTGGGGTGAGCAGCTGTCAAGATGTGGTTCACCTCTACCGACTGCTTTGGTCATCCACCGTCTTGAACATCATTGGCTTGTTCCTTGGCATAATCACAGCAGCCATACTTGGAGCCTTTAAAGATGTGGTAAGTGTGCTGTCCAGCCAGTATATAGTAATGGGAATTGAGAAAGTTAAGTTAGAATTGGGAGCTGTCCCCTTAAGGGAATGCCTCATGGCAAATGTAGTCAGTGCATCCTGGGAAATGTAGTCCATGACATGTAGTCACATCTGTAATCCTGATTGGTCACTGAATTGACCCTGGCTGGGTTGGGGGAGGTTCCTTCACTCTTGCTCAGACCCCAGCATCGTGCTGGCGTCTCTCCTTTTTGCTCCACCACTATGGGATGAAAAGATCACTATCCTTTCACACTAGGAACTCAGCTATGCAAAGATTTGGACATTGAGATGAATCTCAATGTAACCATGAGTTATATATGAGGATACCTGATGAACCAATAAAGAAACTTTGTATGGATGCTTTGTAGAGTTATCTGTCTATCTTTATACATTCAGCCAGTAATTATAAAGGACAGAATTCTTGCTAGCATGTTCGTGTTATCCTAGCAAAATAAAATATGAATATGCAGTACTTTGGACTTGCACCCAGAGTATGAATGACCTGTCCTAAATTTATACTTATACATCCCTTCTTAGAAGCCTGGTTTCCTGGGGTGGCTGAAGTGGCCAAAGAAAAATATGTGTTTGAATTAAATAGTTGCTATGTGTACTCACATAGCTCAGAATTACCTTATGGCACCCTGGAGGGACTCAAAATATAATGCCACTTTAAAATTAAATCTAATCCTGGTGACCATGGATAGACTGTGTTCATATTGTTTTCTTGTCAACAATGTCTATGTGATTGGCCATTATTTTCTTCAAGGACATTTACATTTTTGAGTCACTTCCTTGTGTTCTGGATGCATAAAAACAATTTCTAAGGACAGATTTCATAAGATACTTCATAGATCTGATTAATTGTCCATAAAACCAAAACCAATTGAAGCAAGATTCACCCTCTGTCTGTTACTGATTAAATAGCTAACAGTATCAGTTTTAATTTGACTAATTTAAAAAGTACAATTTGAGGTAAGTCTTGTCATCTTATGACGGCCTAGAGATGCTGCATGTATATTGCCATTAATCTCTTCATTAATGCTTAATTTAGAATTTGAAGGATGGATACCTAAGAATGAAAACATTAAGGGAAATACCAGGACAATAATAAATCTTGAAAAAAAGTTTATTAATATTTCCCCCCAAATATACTCACAGTATTTGGGGTCAAGGGCTTGACCCCAGTCAAGTGAGCCCAATGGAGGGGAAGGTTTCTGGAACTCAACTCACAAAGAAACTGTGTAAAGAGTCAAAGCATATAGCCATTTTCCCCACTTCCCCTTCCTTTACAATGCTCATCCCAGGGGTGGGATAATTAACAAGAAGACAATTAGTTTGTACATTCATTGGAGAGGAAGGGATTACAAGAGAGTAAGCAGGGACACAGTGAAGAAAACACCCTGAAAGCAATGCACTAGTGCTATCCTTTGCCTGGTTGTTTTCTTTTTTTTCTTTTTCTTTTTTTTAATTTTATTTTTATTTTTAGAAACAAACATACACATACAAAACATAAAAACATAAAACCATCTTCCATTTTATATACATACAGTGTGTCAGTTGGTTACATATCTTTTGTGCTATCCTTTTGTAGTCATTTACTCACAACTTATATCAGCCTTCACATTGTTGAACTATCATATGCTTATATATTTATCAGTTATTAATCATCCATGACTAAACTATTTATTCCATCATTTTATCCGAGATGTTCCAAGTTTTGTCTTAAAATTTGTGTTATACTTTCAACCAGTGGTTATATATATCTATATTATGTTTTATATCAGTCTATTAAATTTCTATCATAAAATTATCTAGTCTATTACTTTACCATGCCTTTTTATCCAACCATTGATAAAACAAATCCCATATCATATAAAATTGCTTGTCTTCTTGTTCTCTAACTTCAAATGTCAGTTTACTCATTTCAGCACAGTCCATAATTTTTTTTATAACTTCCTCCTGCATAGGTATTTTGTCATTTTTCCAGTTCTTCACAAATACAATTCTAGCCGCTGTTAAAACATTTGCAATCAAATATTTCAATTCTTTATTGTATATGCCCGGTATGACTCCCAATAAAACATCTCTGGTTTAAAGTCTATATGTTGTTTTATCATTTGTTCCAACTTAGGAGGACAAATAAAGCATTAGTGTGAAATTGATTAGGGTCTTGTCCATTTCAGATAGCAGCACAAGGGTTGGTGGTGTTTCCTAGTCAACTAATTAAGGTTATAGAGTTGAGTGTCTTTCGGTTAGCATTTTTTAAGGGAAGTGCTGTCCTGTAAAGAAAAGCTGGTCAGAAAGTGATAGCTTGTTTAAGCAATCTCTGCTAGAGGGGCAGGAGGTTAAAAAAAAACAAGTCAGGTACAAGACAGTGCATTAGATTTATATTATATCTTCCCTCCAATTTCAACTCAACTCCAGAAGGTTGATTGTGTGGGCACCTAGGCAGCAGCCCAAAGTTAGCCACTAAGCTTCCTAGGGTGCAGGGGAGAGTGGAGTCTATAGTCCTAGCTTACCTTCTGAATGACACAACATATATCATGAGCATCTTCTGTTTGAAGTTCTGCCTCTCATCTTTATTCTGCAGCACTCATAACGGTTGGAGGAGAGGTGAGGAAAAGATGAAAGGCATTCATGATGTACCTAGAATCTACAATGTCTATGCATTGTGGAATCTATAGATGCCAATATATCTCATGTATAGCAAAGGTCCTTACAGCTCATTTGCTCCAGAAGAATTTATGGTTCAGTTAGCAAACTGAGAATGTGGCAAGGAAATTAGTTCAGGAACTGTAAAATGAAAAAAGAAATCAAAATGAAAAACAAATGTTAGCTTCCTCACTAGATTAAAATAACCTAGCTGGGTGCAGAAGTTTACATTTCCTAGGTTTTTCTGTTTACAATAATTTTCACCTAGTCATCTTAGTTAAATCTCACAAAGCTGCTTATTTAGATTTCATGCAAATGAGAGACCAATCATCTTTGTTATCTTGAACAGGACTATCATATCTGAGCTGCCAAAACCTTAATGCCCCCTACATAGTGGAAAATTAGAGTTTTCTCTATTGGTTTGCTGCCTTTTATGGATGTCCAGACTTTTTGCAGCTCAGATAGAGTAAATCTATTTTTATTTAATATGCTAGCGACATCAATTGAATATGCACTAAATATTCTTCAAGTTAGTTTCTTTGGAAAACACGATTTTCAGTGCTTTGGGGCATTGCCTTTTTTAAGAAAAATTTCTAAGGAATTGTAATAAGTACATGTCATTGTCTAATAGGGCTGTGCAGCATTTGGAATTTGAAGTCTACTACACACTTCTATCCAGCTGTTACCCTTGTGTACATATGCTAAAATTTATAATGGGTTCTCTGCTGGTCATATTTTTTAAAATAGCTTTTATTAAAAGATTTGTGTTAAAAATGTACATGCACAATAAGAAATACATTCAAAAATGTAAAAGGACATAGAAAAATGAAAAAGAATGGAAAAGAGCAGAAAAGATTTATATACATACATACATACATACATACATACATACATACATACATATATATATATATATATGGTATTGAGCTTTGTTCGGGTGTTTTTCCACGTCATTATAGTTGTGCTTTTAAAGTTGTAGCAACGTTTCGGCAGAATCACATCTGCCATCATCAGGCTTCTGTATAGTGTTCGTCTGTGAGTCAGACTTTCACAGCTGTTTCTGTTTTAAATTTGGTGCTAGCCTACTGCTGTGCCAGAATGGTTTTTTTCTTCATCCTGATTGGTTGGGAGTCTTGGTCTGTGTTTATTGATCTTGGAGTTTGCTGTGTTCTGCTTGATTGGTGTTTCTAATATCTTCTGTCTGTTTTATAGCTTTTTTTATCTTAATTGGCTGGCAACATTGTGTTTCCTGTATGGGAGGCTTTTAGTGCAGCTTGGCTCTGAGTAAACAGATGGCTATCATTTATTAGGAAGCTAGGTTTCATCTGGGTGCCTGGTTGGGGTGTGTTTGAGCTGGAGGTATCGGGAGAGTCTGTTTGTGCCTTGGTGTTTGGCTGGCTTGTGGTGTGGAGATTTTTTTTGTTTGAGAGTGCAGGCTTCCAGATAATTGACAGTCTGGTGGAGTCATCTCTTCTATTCATGTTTTCAGGTCTTTTTTCAATCTCTATGGCTTCTCTGATAATTCTGTAGCTGGGGTTTTCTATAGTGGCTAGGGTTTTGGTGCCATTGAAGTCGATGCTATGACCTGTGGCTTTCATGTGTTGGACTAGTGAGGAAGTGTGTTCCAGCTTTTTTACTGCATTTTTGTGTTCATCTAGGTGGGTACTTATTCTTCTATTGGTCTGTGCAATAATAACAATATGTGGCAGGGCATGATGCACAGGGGACTTCATATATGCCTTGGTTTTTCAGGTCAATTTTATCTTTGGGGTTTCTTAGGATGGCTGCTATTTTTCTGTCTGTTTTGAAGGCAGTCTTGATGTGATGCCTGTGTAGTATCTTACTGATTTTGTCTGTAGTACCTCTTATGTAGGGCAGAACAGCTGTTCCATAGGTCTGTTCATCTTCTAGGTCTCCATTATGTCTCAGTGTGTTTTTGTGGATCAAGCCAGTGATTTTGCTTTTGTGGAAGCCGTTGGCTGTCAGTACTTTAGTCAGGGTGCATAGTTCAGTCTTTATGTGTGTCTTGTCTGCCAAAAATAGCAGCCATCCTAAGAATACTATACAGAAGCCTGATGATGGCAGATGAGATTCTGCCAAAACATTGCTACAACTTTAAAAGCACAACTATGATGACGTGGGAAAATACCTGAACAAAGCTGAATACCATACATATAAAAATCCACAAAAACTTAAGAAAACAAATATATATATATATATATATATATACTTCTGATCTTCCTCTTGGCAGTTTTACACGCAATTCTAGTCAAATTTAAGATTACATCATAATTCTCTGCTGCTCATAGAGTTTTATCCTCCATGGAATATGCATGGGTTGTTATTTTCTAGAATGGACTGTGCCAACAATGTAATTAGCATGGATAGTGGGTTGTAATTAACATAAAACATGGTTGCTCACAGAAATATCTTGCACTTTTAGTTGGCATTGCATAACGAGCAATCAGACTTCACTTTTATTTAAAAGTTTGACAAAGTTATCCTATAAATGCTCATGCAATTATTAATGTGGACAATTTTATGAAGTATTTATATTTGCAAAGTGGGGTATGGAAATAAATGTTTAGCAGACACAACTCAAGATTTGCTAGGCAACTGAAAGAAAGGCAACTTAGAGCAGTTATGCACTGCTGAGTTGGACTTTTTACATAAAAATCCACTCTTGGCAGAAAGCAACTGCCAAATTGCCCCCCAAGTCTATAATATCCAAGTTTGACAGCTACCATAGTTAACCTGGAATACTGTAGTTGTAATTCCCTAACTATGCCTGAAGCATTGTCTTGAATGTTTCTTCTTGCCTGTATGAATAGAACACAAAAGGTAGGATTGTATTAGAAACAAACGATCAAAAGACAACTGAAGGAAACCAGTTTTTTCTGCTAGATGTTGGCCTACAGAACCCACTAACTCATTGTTTCTCAACCTTGGCAGCCTTAAGATGGTGGACTTCAACTTCCAGAATTCCCCTCCCAATCTTAAAGCAGTCAAGTTTTGTTCTAACAGTGTGCTGCCCTGTTGTGTTGTGTGGATTTTTGCAGTCTTAGAAAAGAGAATTTGCCAACCCCAGTCAGCTAGTTTTACGAGTTCCAAATAAAAGCAGGCTTGTTGCCAAAACAGTGGACTTTTAAATGGGATAAAATAAAGATTGATTTCTCTTTTTAAAAAGCTTTCATTTGCCCATCTGCACAAATGGAATGGTATATTATTTGGGAAGGTGTGATAAATGTATCAAGGGAAAAAAGTATTCAGTATTGAAATCAGACTTGGAGAGGAAGTAAAATTGATGCATCTCTTGCCATTGCAGGTGCCCGTTTCCCAAATTGCCTTCAGCTCTGCTCCACCACCACAGATCCTTTACAATCCTGCTCAGCAGATCTTGACATATGCTGGATTTTGTCCTTCAGCAACTTCTGTTCCTCATTATCCTTCCTATCATCTGCCCCTTCAGGTAGAGTGCAGGAGGTGGGCCAATACACCTAGCATTCACAGTGGCATCCTGGATTGGTTTTATAATGGGGAATTTTGTGTGTGAATCTATGGGTACATATTGGCTACTCTAATCCAAACCTGGGCGATGAGTATCAGGCGGACAAAAGAGCTCCTTTTCATATGTGTGTGTGTTATCAGGAATATCTTTTGCTACCACAGCTTAACATTTAGCATTTCTCAAGCTTAACAATTTGAATAGTCTGGCTGGTAATTCTAGGAATTAAAGTCCTCACATCTTCAAAGTTGCCAGTCTTGATAAACATGGATTTTATAAGGTCAACAGAAATGGGTTTGTGCAGACAAAGAATCAAAACAAAGCAGATAAATAAGAGTTTTGTTGATATTGAAAGCTAACATAGACAATGTTTACAGACTGAGTTAAGCCAAGAGTTACCGTACTTTACCAATGGTCCTTGGACAAGACAAGAACAAGCAGAGTCAATCCTGAAGATAAGCACAAGCTTGTTTGTTTGCTTTATTGCTTCTGGCAATAAAGAATTGGGCCAAGCATTAAACTAACCATAAGCTTGGGATTCTGGATTTAAATAACAACAATAAGATATAATTAAAATAACCAAAGATTTACCAACTTAAAAAAATATTTTCAAACTTTGCTTCCTTATATACAAATGTGTCTCAATCCTTCCTTTTGTTTGGCTGGGTTCTTATATCATCACTACACCAAAATAAAATAAAAAACATTATGGCTTAGACTTGAGAATGACTGTAGGTTGAAGTAGGTGCATGTGTATGTGTATAAAACTTTGCAGTGGCAAATCCAGAATTTGGGGCTTAGAAGTTAAGAAGTATATCAACATACATTTACTGTTTTACACTTCAGCTTCATTGCAAGCTTTTTCTTTGTCTTGGTGCAGCCTACCGGCAATTTCCCAACATCTTCGTCTACTGATGTATCTTTAGCTGATGACCCCCAGCCACCTTCTCAGGCCAGCTGTAACCATGGGGTGCCTCCTAATGCTCCTCCATTATATACACCAGCCTATTCCTTGTCAGGTGAAAAGCCTCCACCGTACGTACCGTAGCCAGTAGATTATTATTCACCTGTTTTTGAAAAATAAAATAGCTTTGGCAGTGAGAACAATGTGTGCTGACTAGATTAGCTTCCATTCATTAATGTCATTTTGTGTGGCATTGTATTTCATCATTTTAAGTCTCAGTGTTAGAATGGAAAATGGGCAGCATAAATGTAACCAAATAATTCATGAAATCAATGTCAATTGGCTACCAGGTTATTTCCAGCAATATCAAGTGATTTTTTTCCCCTCACCCCAAGAAAGACATCTTCTCTGACAGAGTTAGTTGAGATTTATGTCTGGTTAAACTTAAAATATATATTTTTTAAATAGTATGATTTCTCTTATTTACCAAGGAAAACCTTTAAACTGATTTACTTCTCATATAACTTCTATTAAATCCTCATAACTAAGAAAATCTGCCAGAAAAATGGCATTTATTTTCAAATGCATTTCAATAACAGTCATTTCTATAAGTGTTTTCCCTATATATACATTTGTATGCAATTTGTGACCTGAGATTTGTATTACAATATCTAGAGAAGAGCAGAATCCCCAAATTATAATGCAATCTAGATATTCATTCAGTTACTTTCCCTTTAAAATGTGGACCAAACCAAATTGCCCAATTTTCCTAAGGCAGAACTATATTGAGTTGTACTCAGGATCAGCTATAGTAATAAATAAGATTAGTCAAAACCAAAATAATATCCCTACAGCCACCCAGATAGTTCAGCAATGCAGATGCACATTTGTTTCTTAAGTGGTTTAACTCTAACAACCGGTAGAATGCAAGGTTTATCTATCTTTTTATTTTATTATGCAAAATCAACAATTTGGTGATTTATTTCCAGTAAAAAATTACCTAAATTTATCATTCATGTATTCAGCTTTGTTCGGGTATTTTCCCACATCATTATAGTTGTGCTTTTAAAGTTGTAGCAACGTTTCAGCAGAATCTCATCTGCCATCATCAGGCTTCTGCATAGTGTTCATCAGGTGAAAATACAGAAGCCTGATGATGGCAGATGAGATTCTGCTGAAACGTTGCTATAACTTTAAAAGCACAACTATTGTGGGAAAATACCCGAACAAAGCTGAATACCATACATATAAGTACCAGCGAAAACTTAAGAATGAAAATATATATATATAATTTGTTTGTTTTTGTAGATTTTCATGGGTACAAGTATGTAGGTCTAGGTGTGTTCGGGTCTTTTCCCGTGTAAGATTAAGAGTATCTTGGTGACGTTTCGGCGAGGTCCCACTCGCCATCCTCAGGCTGGTGCTTTCGGCTTCGTGCAAGTGCAAGCAGTGTGTGAGTGCAACCAGCCCAGCACACCAGCCCCCACCACCAATATTTATAGAGAGATGGCAGCTCTGATCACACACTGCTTGCACTGGCACGAAGCTGAAAGCACCAGCCTGAGGATGGTGAGTGGGACCTCACCGAAACGTCACCAAGATACTCTTACACACATACATATAGCCAACTGTCTTAGGAAAGACATATATACATACATACATATACATATATACATATACATACATATATGTATGTAGATGAACATTATACAGAAGCCTGATGATGGCAGATGAGATTCTGCTGAAACGTCGCTACAACTTTAAAAGCACAGCTACTATGACGTGGGAAAATACCCGAGCAAAGCCGAATGCCATATGCATATACATACACACACACACACACACACACATAGGAAAAGAGGTGTTTCTCTGTTTTTCTGCTTATTCAATATCTGCTTTTGGGTAAAGATGTCTTCCAAGATTGTGGCAATTATTTTACAATAAAATATGTACATATTTTTCAGATTTTCAGGGTATGCCTTTTATCCAAACGAGGGATAATCTAATCTAGTATAATTTAGGTTTCTCTCCTTCCCCACCCCATGGTACTATATTGAAATGGACTATATTTTAAATATTTGGATTTGTTCTCCTTGTCTGAATAGTTTGTGTGGTCTAGGAATTAATACCGCCAGAAATAAAGTTATTCTTTCTGCAAACTGCAGGCTCAGCCAATTAATAAGTGGGCACAAGAAAGGACATTGTAAAAGGAATCTGTTGGGAAGAGGAGGATTTGGGGTTCACCAACTGTTCCTTCTCTCCATTGCCTGTTCCTAGCTTAAAAACACTCTTGTTGTCAAGGTCTCAGAAGGCCATGGGAGATACAACAGTAATAGGGTTTTGTTGTCTTCCAGTCAATTGTGTCCAATTCTCAGAAACTTGCTGGACAAGTTCCTGCAGTTTTCTTGGCAAGGTTTTTCTTCAGAATTGGTTTGCCATTTCCTAAGGCTGAGAAAAAAATAACTGGCTCATGATCACCAAGCAGGCTTTAGGTAGACTAGAACATGGGTCACCAATCTTTTGGATCTCAGGGACCACTAAATTCGTAATTTTAAATCCCATGGACCACTAATATAATCTGCCTAATGACTGGCTGGGTGAGCGTAGCTAGGTGGTCATGTGATGGGTGGGTATGGCCAACTCGATGACACACATCGAGGGGCGCCTCGCCAAGCTCTACTCACCCCTCCCAACCACTCCTCGCCTGCCTCCCAGGCTCCTTAGGGCCACAGCAGGAAGCCGTTGTTGGAGATAAGCAGTCACTACGAGAAACAGTTGGCAAAACAGCTGGCTCAGTGCAAATTAGATCTGACTCAGGAGGCTCATCAGAAGCAACTTACTGAGGACTACAAGCATAGGCTTTCCAAGCAGAGGGAAGACCTGCGGGAGTGCAAGGCCAGGTCCCGGCACCTGGAGGCTCAGTGGGCTGAGATGGTCAGCCAGTTCCAGGCCATGATGCAATTCCACTGGAACAAGGCCCTCTGGCTCTTCGTCACCAGTGGCGCTTCCCTCCAGCCTTCACCCAAAGCTCTGCACCAGGAGGCTGAAGCAGACCCCAAGTTGGAATTTCTACCCCCCTCCGACCCGCACAAAAAGACCCAGAGGGAGGAAACTCTCTGCAGCAACACAAATGTTCATTGCACGTGTCCAGCCCAGGGGGCATAGTTTGAAGATCCCTGATTTAGTGCAATATAAAAAATGCAAATAATTTTTCTGTGGACCACTGGACTTCAGCTCAGTCTCCCAGTTTCCATCTGATGCTTTAACCAGTACACCTCTCCTAGAAGATTATTAGGGCTTGCAAAATCAGAAGATTATTATCGACAATAACAGAGATGGCTGAGAAAATATTTGCACAATCTGAAATAAAAATTAGGATTGGGGAAAAATTACGTAAAATCATAACCCTGAAGAAATATATTTCCCAAATATCATTAGTAGTCAGTATTACCAGCCATTTTTCCTATACTGTTATATACCGTATTTCCCCATGTATAAGCCACCCCTTTTTTCCAAAATTTTCAAGCCCAAAAAGTAGGGGGGTGGCATATACAAAGCAGGTACACTTTTTATACGTGAAAAATGCATAAAATAATAAAGTAGGAATAAACTGGTTTTCCAGCAGTATGCTATACTTTTTTGTAAAAATTGTACGTGATGATACGATTACGAGTGCGAGTACGCGATAGAAATGCATACGCTAGGCATCGGCCTGAATGCTTCGTTCCTACTCTCGTTCCGATGCGTAGATTGCTAGCGTCGCCCGCACCGCTTTCGGCGTCATGACCGAAGTTGTAGATCTAGACGTCGAATTTTGTTTCTTCGTAAATTTTCTTTCTTCATAACTTGTTTCTCTAATAAAATATTTTTTTCAAAACTTCACAGTCCAAAAATTGGGCGGGGGGCGGCTTATACAAAGGGGGTGCTTATACATGGGGAAATACGGTATTTATAAGCTAATAACATTTCTCTGAACAGGCTAAATAAGGAGATATATGCTTGTCACTATTTTCTTTTTAATTTATATAATAATACCTAATGCCATTTTAAACACATATTTTAAAGCTTAAATACACTTAATTATCTGACAGTGTTTCTCAACCTTATGAACTTGATGTGTGAACTTCAACTTCCAGAATTCCCCAGCCACTTGGCTAAGGAATTATGGGAGTTAAAGCCCACACATCTTAAAGTTCACCAAGTTGAGAAAAACTCATCTATAATATGCAGTCAATTCTGAACCTTATATAACTCATTACAGCCAAGAACATTTATAAACAAGGAAAGGTTGCTTTCGTGAATGCTAGAAAACAACCAAGCTCAGAGAGCAGTAAGCATTCCTCATTTCAACCCTGAATTCAAAAATTTTATTAGTTCTGATCTGGTATAATGGGGATTCTGGAACTTGTTGTTTAAAGTATCTGCTTTAAACGAATGTTTAGCTGAGTAACAACAATTCAGTTGCATGAAGGGACAGTGGAAATATTTTTAGAATGAAGTAATTTGGGACAATTAAAACTATTTTATAAATAATTTAGTGCTTTAAGATATTTCTGACCACACTGAACAAACCAATATAAAGGGCAACTTCCATTCCTAGACAGAGTGTAAAAGAAAAGAAATTTCAGTAGTCTAGCTCCTAAAGTAAGATGATTAATAAAAGTCTTGGAATCTGCTCGGGACTAGACAGAAACCCATATAACATGTGGGGTATTTTGTATGATACTTGCTCCAATGTAACAAGCCTTAAAAAACAAAAAACTAGATTTGGGGCAGAATGTAAGAAGAAAAACTCAACCATAACTATTTGTTATCACCCTAGTGACAGTACTTAGCTTCCTATCTACTACAGAGTACAGACTGATAGTCTTCAAACATACATGAAGCATTATAGGCAGTGTTAAGAGATGGCTAAACCAATCAGCTGAAGGATGCCTCAGTGTGTGTGAAGGCCATAGTGTACTGTATTTTCAGACAATGAAAAAACTAGAAAGGTTCCTTATCTTGTATACCTAACAGCTTAAATAACTTAAATTTGAGCCAGGTCAAGTATCTCAAAAGACTGAATTCCCTAGTTTCACATCTCTATTCCAGATCAACATCATCCGAGAGCAAATTAGGAGACAGAAATTCTAGAACACCAGCAGAGTAGAAAAAGTGGCAGATATTAGAATTAGTAATTCCTATTCTCTATATGCTGAAATTTCAAGCTCAATTGGAGCTTGGCTACAGGATTTATGGTCTCAGTCATGGCAGCTTTTCCAATCATGTTGCAAATATTACCACATAGTTATGCTCTTTATATTTTCAATGAAAAAGGAGGAAAATCTAGTGATATATATTTGTGGGCATGTCTATGTACGTGCATGAAGGGAGAATACATGAACAGATGAATGAATGTGGGATAAATGCCATGTGTCTAAATAAAATCCTTTAAAAATGTTTTTGTGGGCCTCTTCTTATATACGGAAAAATAGCATCACAAAATGACTTGATATAAATAGGATAACCAACATTTTCAGCACTTCAGAAAGCATCCAAAAACAGGTGATAAATCAGAGGACTACACATATATTACTACAAATATGTATGTATGTTTTGGGAAAAACTTAAACATCACCTCTTTCTTCCCCAGTGCAATACTGCTAGTCTAGTTTGTCAAGCAATCCAATTTGTAAGCTGCTAATGTTATAGTGACATGCTATACTATGGTACTTTGTAACTACTCCCATAGAAAAACATATATTGCTTTACTCCTATATTTTTTCAGCTTTTGATGGGCTACATTTGAAAAAAATGCTGTTATATTGGGATTGAAAAGCAAAAGCTCTGGGGCAAATAGCTTTCCCAATCATAGAAAAAGGCAAACATATTCTGAAATAAACACAAATAATCTGAACAAACAGCAGCAAGCTGATGTAATAACTTAGGAACAGCAGGATAGACATGGGCTATATAAAAATTCAAGATAGCCAAGCTTGTTACATTTTCCAGATTAATTTCTTAATGGGGTAGTTATCTGTAGCATTATTAAGACTTTATAATGTAAACCTGTTTTACTTTTATTGGATTCCAGGTTAGTCTAGAAAACCACTGGGTATATGGGAAAGAGAAAAGGAAGACTGAGAGGAATACTTGAGGCATGGGGAACCCTATTCCCAGTATGTAAGAAGCTGGAAGCAGGCTGTATGGAACTCACTGGTTAAACTTGATCAATCCAGAACATGACTTCAGCTATCCTCGATGAGTGTGTTCTGCACTGTAGAGCAGAGGTCTTCAAACTTGACAGCTTTAAGACTTGTGGACTTCAATTCCCAGAATTCCTCCTCCAGTCATGTTAGCTCAGGAACTTCGGGAGTTGAAGTCCATAAGTCTTAAACTTGCCAAGTTCGAAGACCCTTGCTGTAAGAGGCTGAAATTGAACTTAAATGCTGGGTTGTCCTTTCTTTAAACACTGAACTTACCAAGTTTCAGGAAATGGTTCCTAAACTGCTTCTGCTGGAACAGACACTCTGTTTGTATTTCATGATCCTCCCTACTTTTCTGGAGATCCCAATTCTACTGGATAAAGTCAAGTTTACTTTTGCTTATTGTGAGAGAGCTAAGGGAATTGGTTCAAAGATTATCAGGAAAGAAGATTTAAAATCCACACCACCTTTGGAATAAGCCAAAGGAAAAAGGTGGAGCGCTCTATCCTATGCTTTTCCATCCCATATGTTTGCACTGTATCCAAATAATAGCATTAGTATAAGGATTTTATTTTACAAGGCTAAATTTTCCATATTATACTTCTGACAAAGACAAAAGGAACCAGAGAGGAGAATAGAAACCACTACTGAACATGTGGATTTAAATGTTCTTTTTTCCCTCCATAATTGCTGTTTGCCATGAAAGATTTTCTAAAACCCAAAGCCAAATTTATTACATCTAAATTAGATTAAAAAAACACATTTGCTAAGCTTAAGCTTTTAATGGGAAAAAAAAGTTAAAATCTCATTGCCCGTATTCATCTACAGTAAATGCTGTCCTTGCGTCATATAATTCAACAAAAAGTTTTATTTTTTTCATATTTTGTAAGTTAGGAAGCAGCATTAAAAAAATACATAATTATTTTTAATCTTCCAGTCCACACAAAGTAATTTACCAGCGACCATGAACTGTTTCTCAACTACTCACCTCAGAGAACAATTTGCAACTTCTGGTTATTAACATTAGTATTTTCAACTATTTACAAATATATTACATATTTTAAATCTTCTCAAGCAAAGAAATATTTCAATAATTAACACAGTAGATCCTACATAACATCAGTGTTCAAGGGAACTATACACGCAGTGCTGGAAATCTGAATAATTTATAACTGAAATGCACATATGTTGAATACAAAAATTCTGTGTGTGTTGCAGTGGCATCTATTGACCAGTTTCTACTGGAGGACAAGAATGGGAGGTGATGTCATTGGTCTTTTGGAGTGCCTCATCTAAATCCAGAGCTTGATTGTTAACTTTCACCGTCATGCAGCCATGGTAGGAAGCAGTAACTGGAGTTGAAGTGACAGGAACATCTGTGGTGTTTTTAAAACAGGAACAACAAAGGAAGACATCTTCAATAAACACTACTATCAAGCTCCTAATACTTCTTAATTTCAAAATATATAGAACAATTGTTCTTTTGAATGTTGTAAGTGATTCATGTATCTTATAACAACTATTTGAACAGTTGAGCCCCATTATGAAAAGAAATATTCACAAAAAGCACCTTTGCAAATGAAGGACCAAAACTTATATCCCGGAATGAATTCTGTTTTCTTAACATTTCTACTTTAAAAATCTTCACTTTAATTTTTAAAATAAATTTTTGCTCCCCAGATGATGGATGCAGCATCCCGGTCCAAGTTCTGCTTCTTTGTACATGCATTGGTGTAGAATGGATTGGAATAACATTTCCATATCTTACCAGCTTTGTCTCTCCTCTTAAAGGTTAACACACAAAACACATAAACAAATGTGACTAGCTTTGATACCCCCATTAGTTACACCATCATGACTTTATTTTTTAACCACACCCTGCGAACAAACTCTGGGATGTGTATTTATCTCCACTGCCTTGCTGGATTCAGAAACACTGCAAGATCACAGTTTCTGTTAAAACAATGAAAGTACAAGCATTTATCATTTGCTTCCCTTGACCTCACCTGCCAATTAAGGTTTAGCCATACAGGCAGTCCTCGACCTACGGCCGTAAAGGGCATGGTCTGATGAGTTAAGCGGGATCACCTTGGTTAACGGCCCCGCCCCTGCTCTGGGACTCCCAAGATCTTCCTCACCCCGAGACGACACAGGCTCTGCTTGCTGCCCTTCAGAGTCCCCACAGCCCTTGGGCCTGCTTCCCTCCCCCCACCAGGTCCCCACATGCCTTGTACAAAAGTACAAAAAAACTATTCATATGAAATATTGTTATCTAATCTATAGCACCCTCCCTTCTCTCCCTGAAACCAATGGAATGTAGTTTCTCCAATAGGCCTTGGGTGATATCCAAGAAGAATCAGGAAGAACTTTGCATTTATCAGGAAAAGATTACCTAGCTGGGGAAAAACAACTGAGCAATCTAATCCTTGGAAGGGGTGGGGCAGAAAACACAAGGAAAGGCAGATATCAACTGACATTTGCATTCCACTTCTGCAGGATTCCTCTACAAACCAATGCTTTAAACTCTTGCATCTGTAAAAACTTCAAGTACTCAGAAAATAAAAGTAAGGAGTAAATAATATGCCACATTATCTGAGGAAGTCTCATAAATCCAAATATCCATGATTAATTAATAAGAATGACATAAGTACAGTATTTAAGAACCAAGGCCTTGGTTTTTTGCACTAACTGTAACCATTATTCCCTCTGTCCTCTTATATTTCTTTGTTATCCACACAAAAAACTTTTCTTTCCAAGAGCTGGTTCCCACAAATACAGACATATACACATATACACAGAGTGCCTCTTTAGTACCCATTTGAAAATGCAGAAATAAATCTAAGTTTAGCTCAATAATCTGAATTTAATCAAACAGGATCATTTGGACAGACTCTTACTACAGGCTTGATTACTGCTAATAATCAAGAGAAATGAATGAGCCCATGACATATCCCTATGTTCTGGAACATATACGTCACATATATTAAAACAGTGCCCCTCAACCTTTTGGGCATCAGGGACCAATTCCATGGAGAGAAGTTTTTCCACAGACCAGAAGGGGTATAGTATCGGGTGTTGCTTGCATCCTGCAGGTAGGGTTCGCTTGTTTGCGTGAACTGGTTTTTGGCATGCCACAGACTGTGAACTTGGTGCCAGTCTGTGAACTGGGGGTTGGGGACCCCATACTAAAAAAAACGCAACTGGACCTTCAGTAAGAATCGGTAGAATGCACCTTATTTCTACATAACTATAAGAGAGATGATTTGACAAGTTGACTTTTCTGTCACTTAAATCTGTTGTTGTACAAGAGCAATCCTTAAGTAAAACTGATCAGCATCACCAACAACAAAACAACAGCAACAGTAATAATAATGGTGTTTTCCCATACAGCTTCAAATAGTCCCTGTAAAGGAGGTGGGATAGCCTGGCAGATGTTTTTGATGTTTGATAGCCATGTCCTGAGTTATTCAGTAGTGATGACAGAGGAATCAGTGCAATGACAAACCATAGTGGGGAACTGAGTCTCCTTGAAAGATTCTTATCTTGATGTTAACTACTCCCAGTCTATCACGATTGACCAGCAACCGTGTCCTCCGTTGCGCAATCAATCTTTGCATAAACCTTCTAATATTTTTACTGCCTCCGGTTATTTCTAGGCACTTGATTATCCAATCATGTGGCTAGGAGTTAAATGCCTTCCTGTAATTAAGCCACGCTATGTTGAAGTTGGTTTTCATTCTCTTCCAGTTTTCCAAAGTCATTTTGTCAATTAGAAATTGATCTTTTATTCTTCTGCTGTTTGGGCAGGGTTGTGGTTTTTTGCTTTTGGCTCGGGTGGGAAGAGCTTATTTTCAACTAGATGCTGTTGGACTACATCAGCTATCTCACCAATTAATAATATGAAAGTTGTTGGTAAGCAAGTAATTGGCCTGTAGCTGTCCTGCCCTGTCCCTTTTTCTCAATCTTTCATTATTAGGTAGGTTTTGCCAGATGTTAACCATTCTTCAATTCCATCTCCTTGCAGTATGGTTAAACTGCTTGGCAAAAAGTGAGCAAAGGTAATGCCAATGGTGATAGGCATCTTGGGTGCAATCCCAAAATAACTGGAGCACCACTTGAAAACTATCAGTATTGACAAATCACCTTCGGTCAATTGCAAAAGGCGACTTTATACAGAATTGTTTACATCCCATGATGATACCTTCAACACCCTCAAACATCCACACCTGCCTAGCCAGATCCTGGAAAGGACTTGAGAGACAAAAATGCCAAATTTAGTTTCAACATCCGGCAGACTATACAACAAACTATAATAATAAAAATAATGAATGATAATGAATAGAACAAGTATACGATAATGAGAATATGAAATTAAAATAAAAACCATAATAAAAATTCTCTTTAAAGCAGTTATTTCCTTCCTTATGTCCTTTCCTCAGTTTGCACCAAAAGACTGCATAGCCCTAAGAGTCACCAAAGGTAATCAAGGTTAAGATATGCCTTAATCCAAATAATTACAGGAACCATAAACACATATGGATTTTGAAAAATCTGTGTAAACCATTTCAAAATTCTGAGTCATAAGGTATCCCAAATAACCACATATCTACTGAAAAAATTGGCACTTGCTGAAGTTACTGATCATTTGATGATAGCCATATGAAAGCATCTCTAAGCACTGTCAGGAGTGGTATTTTTTATGACCTCTGGACATCCAGCAATTGTTAATAGACTTCTGGACCATTTCCTGTAAATAACCTGCAGTGCACTGCCTGGGTATTATACAAAGAAAACATAATGTTTGGTAGTGGAATATATTTAATTGCACGAACAGCTGAATAACAACCTCTGCATCCCAAATGATCTGATGGGGCTGAATTCAGGTATTAGAATTATACAAAAAAGTAGCTAGCCTTGAAGGGAAACCTATCATCAGTTCTAATATAATGGACAAGTGTTCAAGGGAACATTATTTGCTCTTCCATTACCAATATACATACTGCATGTTATATTACATTCATTTCAATTATTTCTTTGTGACTCTTTACTAAAGCCAGGCCTGAGACAACATGAAGTATTTTTTTTCCTCAGAATAAAATCAAATTAAGTTGTGCTTCATTTACTTAACTTCCCCAAGGATATAACCTACATGCTGTAATGTGTTTAAAAGCAAACAAGTCAATAGGGCTTATTATTGAGGCAGTCATACAGAAAAGAGGCAAAAGAACTAATTTTCACAGGGTACCTTGTTGACCTCTCTTCTATCAATGAGCAGATCATATGCATCCTGGATGTAGCATTTAACACTCACCTGGCAGTCCTCCTACATAAGTCTTTAGAGATGACTGTAGGTAATTATCTAAAACAGACAGATAATCTTCCAGTTGTGCCTGGCTTAGTTCGTTCTGTCCTGCAGTCCCATCCATAGTCAAAACTATCTGACTATTGCTGACGAAGATGTCCACCAAGTGCTCTTGTTTGTCACAAATGCTTACTGCCAGCCTGCAAACTACCGTGTTCTTCACTGCCAAGATAATAAACTGTACAGCAAGGAAATAAATAAAAAATTTGTTAATGAAATACTGATCTACTGTATTTCTGAAAAGTATTAAACACTGAAGATGTTATTATGACATATATATTGCAGTGGACAACCATTCTAAAGTATTCTATTCCCATCTCCCCACATTTGAAAATATAGTTTTATAGTTAATCACAATGCATTTATTAATATGAAGTAGTATTTATGGAACTGTTTCACAATTTAAAATTTTCTGCTTGTATTACACGTACACATGCCTGAAGTATTTCAATACATATTTGTGTGTTCACCTGTTGCTTAAGCTTCTTTGTGGAATGATAGTCAATCAGAGCCACTGACAAAGGGACTATTGCTTTATTGCTAACAAGAGCAAAGAGCACTCCAGTATCTGTGGCTGGACGAATTAAAAGATTTACTTTTACTTCCCACTGCTTCCTGGTTTCATTGATATCAAATGGACGAGCTACAGAAAGAGAAACAGAGAGCTAAGTGCATACAGAGGGCTACTATTTTTAATACTTCAAATAATCAATCAGTAGGTTAGATTTCTCACTCATGGTAAGAACAAATGGTCATAATCACAACTTATTCAGTCAACCTTTGTATATTGTTATCTTTTGTTATGTTATGTTGCTATGTTATAATAATATTTCCATCCTTTTAACAGCTCTTTTGTTAATTTCATAAAATCACTGTGTTTGTTTTGACTAGTTAAAGTCAAGATTATACTTTTTTAATCACCAAGACATCTGGATTGTAAGAACCTGGTCAATCTGCTGTGTCTTTAGGGTCCCTAATCATCCAATATCTTGAGCTGCAGGACTTAATTCTGGGTTTCTAATTAAAACAAAATAGAACAAAGAAGTAAAGCTATTTTCAGTTCTATTTTACCCCAGTGCAGTATTACATATGTAATAGTATAAAAAGCTTGCTGGCTTTTTGTACTTCTATATCTTATTTTTGTCTATTTATATGAAATATTTATTTACCATTTCTCATAGCAAAGAATCCTGAAGGAATTTTAAAACCCAGTAAAACTAAGGCAGATAAAGAAAAAAGATTCAAACCTGTTCATTTAAAGATAAATGATTGGGAAAGCTAATATAAAAATTTGATGCCTGATGTAGTGCATGCTGCTAAATTTAGGTTTGTTTGTTTTTAAGAGTTCTTTCAGCATTTCTTTACTTTCTATTTGAACATAATATTAAAATTAGAAACAATGGTGTTCTCAAAGATCATCTGAATTGCACCTGTAATAGGTATGATATTATTCAGCTTTACAAGATGTCTATCAATCATTGGGAAGGCAAAAAACAATAAAGTCTGAATCCATTCAACATTACCAGATGTCATAAGGAAAATGAAAATTACATTTTAGGTCCTAGTGAATTTTCTCTCCAAAGTAATAACTTATGCCATGCATTGTCTGCCAAGTTATATAGGCAGGAAAAGAGGCATATCACATTACAACAGCCAAAAGTAAATCACCTTATATATACGATACGTGGCTTTACTTAAAAGCTATTAGATTATGCATTATACATATATTCAATATCCTTTTAAGAGTTTAGCTTTTTCAGAGTTATTTAAACATTATAATAGCGCTCTTATTTTTTTCTTCCTTCATCCATGCCTACAAGACACATTAATTTTCTTGTTAAACTTTACTTCATATAATAATTAAGAACAAGTACTTACCATAATTGAGATTAAATATAGCAAATCCTTTGCCAGGGTAGAAAGAACCTCTTCCTGCAATTGCAAAGCACTGCATCCTATCATTCGTTTGGATAGTAACGTCGTCCTTATTCTGCCAATTCCAAGCCCTCATACATCCATCTAGTCGAGGGTTAATCTAACAAAATAAAGGGAATTACCTTTCTTTGAACTGCTGATGATAATGGAATGGGGTTTAATCCCAAATATTTTAATTTAGAAAACAATGCTTTTCAGTAACCCCAAATCTCTCTTTAATATATTGATTATATTTATACTCAATAAATAAAATAAAAATATTATAAAACAGGCTTAATCAACCACGATTTAACACCACTGCTGGGACATATAGTAGTGTTACATTACTTCAATGGCCTTTTTTGGTAAAAATAGATCATACAGACTTATGTAGGCTTATAGTTTAGCTGCATTTGGAATGCTGTGCTCAGTCCAACTAATCTAAAAAAGAGAACAACACTGGGAGAAAATGTTACAGCACTTCCCCTACAATCAGAAGATAAAACATGAGAGGTTTGAACTTCAAAATAGGTGGGGGAAAGGCATCTGTGAAATTTAATACATCTTATAGCATCACAAATGTAGGATGTGGATAGAAACTGACTGGCTATCATAAGCCAACCAAAACTGCTTCATGTAACAGGTAACATAAGGTATGTTCTGCTTTAAGCCAAAAGGGAGGCATTTCTCTGTCACAGCTTCTCCTCTTCCATTTCTTTAAGTTAGAGAACAACGTCTATGTCTCATCGACCAAGGTGGTCAGGTAAGAAGAGATGGCTGCAGTTGACTGCTCTTCCAAAGAAATAAAGGCCGTGGAAGGAAGGGAAGGGCAGGTGCTGTTTATGTGGTCTCTCCTGGCACCTTGTCACCTGCTGCTTTCATTGGTTCATAAGAAGCTGCAGTGTCACAAAACATGGAGAGAATAACCAGAACTATTTCTACAGGCTGTGAAAGTGTGAATCCATCTGAGTGAAGAGGTTAGGTGTAGAACTGGTAGAACAGTTTGTTCGAAGAGTGATTAAAGGATTCATGAATAAGAAGGTAAGAAAATAGATTTTAATGCAGCATGATATCATTTCTTAGGTTAAGACTTGCACTTTTCCTCCCAATGATGCCATTTTAGTTTTATACACTTTCTCTCCATTTGAAGAACAATATGTATTTTTTTCATTGCTATGAGCCTGGTTTTGTAAAACCTCCTTCCATCTTTTGTGAAATTGGACATTGCTTTATGTTCTATATTTTAGAGAGGTTGGTTTGTGATTTTATTCAGTTTATTGCAAGGGTCTTCAAACTTGGCAAGTTTAAGACTTGTGGACAAACACCCAGAATTCCTGAGCTAACATGACTGGAGGAGGAATTCTGGGAGTTGAAGTCCACAAGTCTTAAAGCTGTCAAGTTTGAAGACCTCTGGTTTTGATTGGATTTGTATAGACCATTCTGCATTCTTCCAGAGGGAGTACATATGGAAATGAAATGAGAATAAATAATTTTCAGTCAGAATTTTCTCAAGAAAATATTACACTGCACAATAAAATGTAAGGTTCCCTACAGTCAGCAAATTAGGTCACTGAACCTTTACATAGTTTTCTGTGATAAAAGTTGAAAAACACAATCAGCAAGGAAGCATTAAAAAAAAACCTTAAAGAATGCAGAGGAGTAAATAGGCTTGCTCATAAGATATGTTGACCAACTGTCCTCCCTAAAGCTCCCAGATAAAAATAGATAAGTGAACAATACAAACAAAGAAAAAAAATCAGAAGAGCAGAAAAGCCAATTTCTATAGCATTGAGAGCGATTTTGCTTGCTTTCCATATCTCCTGAATATGTGTTCTACTGCACAAATTTACCCTTGTGGTCAAAAGTGATCTGACATGAGGCTTTTAAAAAAATATATATTATATTTTTTTCCTCATTGACAAATTATTTTATCTTACATTATTATTATTATTATTATTATTATTATTATTATTATTATTATTACTACTTTATTGTATTATTTTATCTTACTTTGAATACAAGATGGCTCTATCCCCTTTTCCATCAGTTGTCTAGCTTTACCATAGATTATAAAATAGATATAATGTATTAAGATATAATCTATAATGCAATGAACAGTCTTACTTACAGAATGGATAAGATTATGGGTCTTGAAAGGAAGTCCTCCAACTGTTAGATTTAGAAGATAAAGTCCTCTGTCTTGAGTAAACAAATTGCCTGAGACAGCTATCCTCATAACTGCATCCTTATTGACTTTTATAACTAAACTTCTTTCCAATTCTTCAACTGATATCTGACAGAAAAAAAATTCACAAAGGGATCAGGAGAAAAATATGAAAAAGCATATCATCTTCACATAAAAATATTATTCAATGAGCTATATTCAAATCATATGGTGGCTATGAATTAGTCTTGTCTTTAGAAATACAATAGCTTTGATTTTCTCATTCAGTAGGACAACATTGCAACTTCAGAAGTGAAGCTAGGAACAAAGGGGCAAGCTGACTTATCTCAACAAAGCAGTTCCTATGAATCATTTCAAGTGAGATTCCACACATTAAAATTGAAAGTCTCATAATATTTTACATACATGAATTTGCTAACAATTACAAGACAAAATATATGATCAGTATGCATGTTCTCTCATGTTCCAATCATAAATAGAACTGGTGGGATTTAACATTTGACTATAAATTGACTATTTATTTACCAGATTTATCCCAAGCCACATCTTCCACCAAATAATTATCTGAAAACTAGGAGAATGGCTGATAAGGAGCTGTTGTACAGAAAATAATAAACAAAGGACTACAGACAGAACGGTGCCTTTGTAGATTTTTAAAAGTTCTCCCTTCTTTCATCTTTTCCATGGGTGGATGGGAGGTTAAGACTGTGCGTATACACACAGATGGAAATAAATTAACTTTGAAATATGTACAAGTAGCTCTTATTATCCACGATTTTGCATATATTGGTGAATTCCTTATCATCTGAAATTCCACAAGCAGCTAGAGATCAAGAGGCTTTCAGTTTTTCCACCTCAGCTCTTTTGGATAACTTTTTAATTTTATCTACAAGAGAGTATATCTGAATGCCTATCAATCAAAGGAGTCTCCATTTTGCATGAATCTAATTTCAGTTTATCCACCCTCATCCAGCCCATTATCAGGCTCAAACACAGACAAGGGAATAAAATGTTTTATGTTAGATTACAATTAAAACCCACTCTAAATTGTACAGTGATATATGTCATCATAGGCAGTAGTCTTCCAAATCATTTTCTGAAGATGTCCTGGCAAGAGCAAACACTATTACTATTAAATTCAATCCTAGCGGGAATTAAAAGCTTCCAGAGAATCCAAGAGAACTAGGTGGGTGCATTCCTGGATCCCCGACATAAGTCATCCATCAAGCCAAGAAAAGCAAGCTCAGCCTCAAATTCCAGTTGCGTAATCAATATCTTCCAGATGTATCTACAATTGCAAGACTACTCTTATTATCGTCTTAGTTGGAAATTAGTATTTCAAATCAATGTACACTTTTCCCGCTCTTCCACATAGGAACAATTAAACTGGATTTTAACTCTTACAATTATTCATATGGTTTGACTTTGGTATGTTATCTTTGATAACAGTATCGTAGCTATTTATTTTATGTAGGAAAGCATATACACCATCTTGCAAGTAAATTGATTGTTTGACTAAACTGATACTGGCTTTCCCCTTTCCACATGTTTAAAATCCACAAGCTAAAAAGGATTTATGACAGTATAATGGAATTGATACTTGGCAATGTTTACATCTTTCTACCCTGCCTCAGCATTTACCTGCAATTCTAAAGACGGCTGCATAGGCAAAAGTTAGCTAATGTCACAAAATTGCAAAAAAAAATAAAGTATTATGTATTTCAGCATCAAAAACTAACATTCTATTTTATGATATATAAAGAATTCTAATTTTTACTATGGGCAATGTGCAGGTCATTGTACTATTTATTTAAAAATATTTACACATCACTCCAAGTGATGCACAATTTAAAATCACAAATAAAATTGCCAACAGGATAAAAGTTCCAACCAGCATATTTTAAAAAAAATCTAGCATAGTAATAAAAGCAGTCAAAAGTCCAGCAATACAGCATAAAGTTTACCGCCCAACTACAACCAATGAACCTTGTCTAGCAAAAGAGACGTAAAGGCATGAAAATGGCAGCCTGTACTATACCCACTGTCTGCCACATGCCATGGTTGATGATTGGGCCAGTGCTGGTCACCCGGCCGACTCCATTGTACTTGAGTTGCAGCTCCAACCGTCCATTGCGCAAAGCCAAAACTATCCAGGTTTTGTCGTGATGGCCTCCAGCAAAAAAAAGCAAACCTTCAGGATCAAAGGTTCTAAAATCAAATTCAGCTGTAAATCTGGACACATAAGAATAAGGAGGGAAAAAAAGAGTTAAGGAGGGAATACAGTCTATTTTCCAGACACTTATACTTTCAAACTACCCCCATCTGATTAAAAAAAAAAAAAAAACCCTACCAGCCACAGAATCATTGGGGGATGATAATACATCAGGCAAACCCCATGCATTGGGCATTGACATTCAAAGTCAGCAAGTACAAAAACTCAGGATTGGGATTGGGATTATCAGGCACAAAGTAACACGTCCACATGTGATGTTCGAATTAAACTGATTTATTGCTAAAAGCCTATGCTTCTTCTCAACTAAGGTCAGCACCTGCTCAGAGTTAGATAAAGGTCAACGGCAGCCCAGGGGTGTTGGACTTAGCTCCATCTGTGGCCATGTAGCGATTCTAGGCTGATCTCTCTTTTCACCCCACCCTGGCTCTGCTATTCCTTCTCCTACAGCCATGAGGGTGAACCAGTAGCATGCAGAGCCACTTCTGCCGGCACACGAGATGTCACTCGGAAGAGCCCCACTGTGCATGCGCACACCCACCAGCCAGCTGATTGTCAAGTATCTGCCACACATGTGCAAGGGGGGGGGAAACGTGCATGGGAGATGCACATGCATGCGCAGAGGCATGCGGCATGGTCACGCACACATGCACAGAGGTGCATGGTGCGCACACAGGGCGGCACATGCGCAGGGGGGCAGGGGAATTGCATTGCATCATAGGTGCCGGCACACGAGCAAGCGCACGCGATCGCACTTTTGTCATGCAACATGGAAAAGGTTAGCCATCACTGTCCTACAGTAAGGTATACTTGGTCGTATTTTTCATCTTCATAGTTTATAGTACAGATAGTCCTCCACTTAAAATCATTTTGCAGTGACTTTTTCACATTGCAATGGCACTTATGATCATTTTCCTCACTTATGACCATTGGAACACTTCCATGGTCACATGATCAAAATTTGAATGCTTGGCAACTGGTTCATATTTAGGACAATTGCAATGTCCTGGGGTCCTATGTTCATCTTTTGTAGTCTTCCGACTACCAAACTCAATAGGGAAGTCAGATTCATTTAACAATCGTATTACTAATTAAAGTGATTCATTTAACAACTCTGGCCACAAAGGTCGCAAAATGGGAAAAAACCTCACTTAACAATAGTCTTTATCAGCCACAGAAATTTTGGGCTCAGTGGTGGCTGTAAGTCAAGGACTACTTTTCCTTAGATGTGGCATGCAGAGCCCTGTTGGCACACGAGCCGTCCCTCCAGCTCAGCTCCGCATGTGTGCACATGCCTCCCGTGGGGTGCATTTTGGGGATGCGCTTGCATGCTTTGGGCACTGAGTGCCGAAAGGTTAGCCATCACTGTTCTAGATCAGGGGTCTCCAACCTTGGCAACTTTAAGACTTGTGGACTTCAACTCCCCTAACCCTAACCCAAACCCAGAATCCTGGGAGTTGAAGTGCATAAGTCTTAAAGTTGCCAAGGTTGGAGACCCCTGTTCTAGATGATCCCAAACTTAGAATTCACTGACTGCTAAGCTAGCATTTGAGGCAGTGGTGGGATTCAAACGTTTTTACTAGCAGTTCTGTGGGTGTGGCTTGGTGGGCGTGGCAGAGGAAGATACTGTAAAATCTCCAGTCAGAGGTAGTATTTGCTGGTTCTCCGAACTACTCAAAATTTCTGCTACTGGTTCTCCAGAACTGGTCAGAACCTGCTGAATACCACCTCTGATTTGAAGAAATAAGAAAACAAGAAAATGAACAACACACTTGTTGCATTCTCTTGGGAAAGTTGTTGGCCTGGAAGGCAAGATAGATAATTGAAAATGGAGATAAGAGTTTCCAACTTCCCCCGAGTCTGCAAACAATTCTTCTGCACCACTGTACTATCATTGCTGTGATAGCAGAGTTAATGTGTTAATAGTACAGTAATGTGTCAAGAACTATAACCATATGTGGACAAGCAAGCTGCCCTGTTGCTTCTGCCACCCAAATATTCATTCCCCTGTTCCCATTTCTTCAATGACTTTTTGCTGTAGGAAGCCTTCAAAAAAGAAGCTTGCACAAATATTGCTGACCGTGCACTATAAGGTTTCCAATCATGTGGTAACCTACTCTTGTTCCCCCCTCATAAGAACTGTACTCGGTGGATTGCAAGCCACTGATATAGGTAATGGTGTGTACAACATCAGACCAAGCCATATGCATTGCATTGTATCCCCCCCTTATCTGTCATGTGTGTTGCATACAGGAAGAATTTGGAAAGAGGTCTTCTGGTATTTGTTAGTTTCATATAGTTAGATTCTGATATACACAAAGGAAAATATAAAAGAAGTACCTGGAACCTACAAAGGACAATGTTGATGTTCAAAGATGTATAATGTTTTATGCCATCAACAAGCAAAGTTAGTGCCCATACATAAGAGACAGAATCAGTATTTTAACCCTTCAATCCCTGCCCCAAAACAGAAAGCTCCTTATCTGGGAGAAGTTCAAGATATGCAGGAAGATCTAAGTGGAGAATACCTACTATGGCCCTTAAAATCCCAAATCCCCAAATTTGAATCCCAGCTACTGTGAAGAGATCTCATACCACAAATGGACTCCAGCCCAAAGGCTACCCATCTTGGCATATATAAGAACTCCTGTAAGGACTCCAGTGACATAAAATAAGAGCACAATTTAAACTGTTATTCAGAACTTAACGTCACTAGGCAATTGGTGCTACGTAAGTCTTAGAATTCCAGTCCAGGATGACACACCTTTATAGCAAAGAAAGGTAAATCCATTGCCTTTAAGAGGAAAAATAGTTATTATTTAAATTGCTTTTAAAATTCTCACCTTGTGGGTTGTGTCCTCTTAAAGAATGCCTTGATGGCAGGTGTCACACTAAAAAATCTTCCAAGATAGAGGGATTTAATACTTTTTTCAGTAGCAAATGGTACACAAGGTAAAATATCCTGGAGGAGGGAGGGAGAATTTTTTATTTCAAAACACTCTGCTTAGATTGAGGTCAGCAGTTACAAAATGTGTGTGTCTGTGTCTGTATCTGTGTTTGTAAGAATTATATTTAGATCATTCAGTGATTTTGTACTGTCCTGGAAAGCAGATACAGTAAATCGGGGCATCCTTAGCTGTAGATTTCACAGCCCCATTTTGCTATGTGATGTCTCCAAAACATCATATGAACACCCCCATCAAAGAGCCATCTTTTCTCTACTTAGATGTCACATGATCACGCCACTTAGTGATGGCATTTCTGGTTGCCATTGTTAAGCAAAATCATTATGCATTATTAAGCAAGAATGTCCCTTGGTCATTTGCAAACCCCCTGCCTGCTGCCCCATTAATTCTCTTGTGGCACCTCGGGAAAAAAAGTCACAAATGGCAACCACAAAGTCACTACAGTGACCAGAAGTAAGTATTACTCATTCAGCACTATGGCGAGTTTGAATAGTTGCCGAATGAGCAGTTGTAAACCAAGGACTACCTATTTTGTTCAGTCATATAACATATCTTTCTGATGTAAAAGACCATAAAATAAGCCCACTTAATGGATCTCTGGTGAAAAAGGCTGAATAGTGTCAGGCAGAAAACTTTGGAGCGAAAGACCCAGAGAGCTATTGTTAATCAGAAGACACTAGTCTAGTGTAATGGGCAAGAAACAAATCTGATGACTGAGAGCAACTGTGTGTAGGTAATCCTGGACTTACAACCACAATTGAAATTGGAATCTCAGCCATTGAACAGAGATTCAAATGAGACACCTTGTGATCGTTTCACTCAATGATTACAATCCCAGTTCTCCCGGTTGCCATTGTTAAGTGATTGTGTGGGTCATTAAATTGCCTTTTTCTGCAGCTGTAGGCGCAACCAGTTGATATGAAGGTGCAGCCTTTTTTGAAACCACCTTGCACCACCCAGTAAGTGGGACCCATTCTCTCGCTTGTTGGAAGACTACTTCTCCAAACTGCTCAATTTGAAGAAGGGATTTTCCAAACAAATGTGACAGCATTCACATTCGAAGATTCAAATCTTTCTAGCCTTCAGAATGCTGGTGTTCACTAGCTTTCTAGCCCTAGTGAATCTTCAGGATTTGAGATGTGTTCCTAAATCCTCCCTACATAATCATGGGACACTCACAATCAACCATAAATATGAGATGGTTGCCAATGTAATCATGTGACGGGGAGGAGGGGAACAGTGTTTTACAACATCTAGAAGGGCTTTATAGGCTATAAAGCATCCTTTTCAAGGCTGTGGTATTTTTGAGCAGCATTTAAACAACCTTTTGTAAGTCAAAGACAACCTGTAAGTTATCTGAAATTTCGTTTGGTTAGAAAACAGGCAACACATGCTGCATGAATGGAACCAAGAACCAGAGTTTTAAGTATGCATCTTCCCTATTCACGATAGGCAACAGTCTCTCTTTTGCCTTATAATTTGTATTATTATATAAACATAGTGTTTTGAAATGTTCTTCTCTAGCCTGAGGTGAAGGGAATGAGTTAAAAACTGTTCACTTTGTATACTGCTATCTCATAAATGTGAGGCTCCATTTGTGTATTTCTGCCTGCAGAGCGGAAGTATTAAAACATTACCTCACAAGTATTCATATCACTGGAGAGTTTAACTCCACCTTTTCCATTGCAGTGGCAAGTATAGCTTCCTTGTGAATTAACACATGTTTGCTCACATAAGTTCTGTTCACATTCATCCACATCTATACAACACCAATAAAAAGAAAAGCAGAAAATGAAGTTGTTGTGTTTGCCTTAAATGTATTTTTAAAACAATTGTAGCAACCTTGAAGAAAAATACAACATGTTGTTCTTTCTACAGAACTTAGTTTGGCATTGCATTCCATTTCTGGAAGGGCTCTCTCAATGTGGGGCATCCAAAAGCAAATGAAAAAGAAAATAGGGATTTGCAGAAAATTTGAGTATAAATCTGGATTGAATTTTTAGTCATCGGATGATTTTTTTTTAAATAAATGGGATGACAATATATTTAAAGGAGAATATCGGTAATTTAGGATTGAATTGAGGGGTTCCATTTGGTCCTCTATGAGGTTTGTTGTTTTCCCACAGACATTTTATTACCCAAACTGGGTAACATCATCAATGCTAGACAACACATTTATTGTGCTTTTTAAAAATTATTCTTCTAAAAACATTCACCATAATGCTTTAGTCTTAAGCAGGGGTGTCAAACTCACACTGTCATGTCGTCACATGACTTATTGCAACGTTTTTCCCCTTTGCTAAACTGGGAGTGGGGGTGGCCAGTGTGTGATGCATCCACCCTCTTGAGTTTGACTCCCCTGATTCAAAGCATCAAATCTGATTCAATAGATCTGCTTATTTTTTCAACACCCGCTTGCCATCTAGAGGTATATAGAAAATTAACAGCAAAGTGGGAAGGCAACATCATACATCAAAGATAAGAATTCTCATGATGATATTTAATTCTACCTACTACTAACCTTTGCAGGTCTTTGTGACCTCATCGTAAGTGTAGCCAGTATCACAAACACATGTGTAAGACTTTACTAAATTTTTACATTGAGCTTCTCCACAGATCCCTGCTGTTACAGCACATTCATCAATATCTGAAAAAGAGCAAAAAAAAAAGGTGATCAACAATAATGGTTAGACTATCAACAATGTTTCACAGGCCTAACTCATTCTCTTTCTATTGTTATAACTACATAATGGAATCAGGAAATGACTTCAGCCTCCCCAGAAACAAAAGGCTGGTATTCTGCAAAATATACAGCACTTCTGGGTAAATGCTGTAAAGTTCTTAAAAATGAGAACTCTGGGGATGGGAACACAGGAGGAGGAGAATCACAGGAAAAAGTGTGATAGCAATGTTAGAAGAGGGTCAGCGTTTTGAGACAAAAAAGATCACAGGATAGGAAATTACCAGCTGTTTGGCTGGGAAAAGCTTCTGTTTTGTACATAATTCCCTTAATGGAACAGGCTGTATCGATCATGTTTACATGCACATTTGAATTTGTTTCTGCATTATGAAAATGAGGCGTCTAATGTAATGAATGGAGATACACAATCAAATCTTGCAGTGTAGATAGTAGCATGTAGCACCACCCATTTTTCAGCAACTAGTCTGTACATAGCAAATTTCATGCAGAATAGTATAGCTGCATCCATACATACCCACCACGCCATTCTCTTTTAGGTTAAGCAATGTTATGCACAGCATAGAAAAGGAGTAAACCAAAAGAAATTAAAGGCATCAGAAAAGAAAAAGAGAAGAAATATAATCGGCACTAGTTTATACCAACATCATTCCATATTCTCTTTGCTTCTGGCAGATTTGTCCTCTGCTTCACATGCTGCCTTTGTTTTCTTAAACTATGTTCTGAGGATGTCATCAACGTTATCTTACAGTGACTTTCTCGGCCTTCACTTTCCTTTTGACCCATTCGTTCACTCTGCCTTCATCTACTGGTTGAGGAATTCTGATTTTCATTCATTCTCACTCTATGACAAACTACGTACTCATACAGGTGGTCCTCGACTTACAACTATTCCTTCAGTGATCGTTCAAAGTTACAATAGCATTGAAAAAAAGGACTTATGACCAGTTTTCACAAGTATGACTCTTGCCTAAATGTGACCCCCCATAATCATCTGATTAAAATTCAGGTGCTTGAAGGTTTTATGACAGTTGCACTGTCACAGGGTCATATGATCATTATTTGTAACCTTCCTGGTGGGCTTTCAACAAGAAAAGTCAGTTGGGCAAGTCAAATTTGCTTAACAACTGCAGGACTTACTTAATAACTGCACTTATTTGCTTAACAACTATAGCAAAAAAGTTGTAAGGTGGGGCAAAGTCAACAACTGCCTTGCTTAGCAATGAAAATTTTGGGCTCAATAGTGGCCATAAGTCAAAGACTACCTATGCCTCTTTTTACTTCTTTTTATACTCATCATTCAGTTTTACATTCAGCTCGTATTCCTTTACAATTTTTCATTCTTCATCCTATTTTTCTTGCTTTACCACACATTGAGCCATGGTGGCTAGGATGCTGCATTTCAGGCTAATTCTTCCCAATGCCAGGAATTCGATCCTGATCAGCTCAAGATTGACTCACACTTTCATCCTTCCAAGATTGGTAAAATGAGGACCCAGACTTCAGAATTAATAAAAGGTAATTTGAGGAATGAGGATACAACCATAGGAACTTTATGCATGATTCCAGTAAAGGACTTGGCTACTTTTGTGAGTTACAGCCAGATACTAGTATGTTAATGTCCCACAAGTTGTGAGGAACATTTTCTAAACTGTTTTCAAAGTGTTGCACAACCATAATGCCTAACTCTTTATCTACTCATACTGTTTGCCCATTTTAATCTCCTTTGTCAGCTGCTTTTCCACAAATGAGTTATAAAATACATTTATACCTCCCTCCCCATCTAGGCATTTTCCAGCTGTATTGGAATTGCAGTTATGCTAGCTGACATTATGAGAAATTCCTATTTGTTTGTTTTATTTTTAAAATGTTGACCTGCTGCGTCTCATTGTAAAGCAAAACTAAAATAGATGTAAATAATCTGTATCTTCCAGGAATGCCTATGGTTGAGTTATTACTTTTTCAATAAGCCAGTGTTTCTCAATCTTGGCAACTTTAAAATGTACAGATTTCAACATTACTGAGAGCTAATTTGAACTAGTTATAAAGGAACCAGGCTAGAAAGCAGGAGGCTGAGAATTCTAGTTCTGACTTAGACATGAGAACCAGCTAGTGACCTTGAGCCAGAGACTCTCTCACCCAATCCACCTCACAAGGTGGTTGTTGTGGGGAAAATAGAAGGAGAAATATGCATTGAGTATGTTCATCACTTTGAGTTGTTTGTAAAAATAATAAAGGTGGGATAAAAATAAATACAATTACTGGCTAAGGAATTCTGGGAGTTGAAGTCCACTCATCTTAAAGCTGCTAGGTTGAGAAACATTGCAATAAATTGTCTCACAGGGGGATATTTATCACTAGGTGACACTGATGAAGATTACATGGAACCAAAGGTAGACACCACCTGTAAGGTTGCAATCCTTCCTAGAACTATCCAGCCAAGTCTGCTTAACTTGCTGATTAAATAGTCCTTATGAGGCATGATCAAAAGGAAATGTGAAACAACAAAAAAGTCACAAAGTGTCTTGCAAATACTTCAAGCTCCAAAATCTGGAATGATGCCCCAAAACAAAATGGTGCCTCAAGCACATGTCTCAGCTTTTGCAGAATGTGGTTTCTCAGCAACAGCTTCAGTTAAGAAGTGTTTACTGCTACTGTACAGCTCTTTTCTTCCTTTAACCTTCTCTCTCTTCCCTCCACAATCTCTATCCAGGCAACATTATTGTCATTTTATTCTTTAGTGACTTCCAGTGTGCAGAACATTAACATTCTGTTCAACAGGCTGAAGTACTATAATTTAAATTACAGAAAAATATATCCATTGTTATTGGCCACTTGTCATCAGAACATTTCTGAGATGAGTAAAGTCTCTAGAGATTATTTTTTTCTCAGGTGACTGCCCACTTCTTGTATGCTCTAGGTCATTCTCTAATACAATGCAATTAATAAAACTAAGAAAAGCTATATTCTACTTTGCCAAATATTGCTTTTTAGCTCCAGAAGGAGCCAGTTGGCTGGAGCATTTTTGGCATAATATGCCAATCCTTTGTGAATCACTCTTTTGCTATGGGGTTGGATTGTTCTGTGGTATGACTGCAGACATGCTTAGGCATGCATTCCTGGCTGTTCCTATTGAAATCTTAAACCGCAGTTGTGAGAAAGTCAGAAGCAATAGCAACTGCTCTGTTTAGCCCTCGGAATTATTTATGCTAATAAAGATAGCAAGTAGCTCAGGGTTAATGTGGTTTATAAGTTTTATTTGGATTAGAATAATTTATTGCTGGCTCATAAATTCACTTAGAACATATCCACAATAAACATTTTAGTCCTCAAGATACCATTTTTTTCTTTCATCAAGAAAGAATGATGAATATAATAATGGAACAATGGATTCTCAGCAGAGGTATGTAGCTTTCACTCACAGAATTTGTGCGGTAACCTTCTCATAAACAAGAGAGAGAGAGATCCAGCAATCATGACTTGTCACAGTGTTTGAACTGGCAAACTAAGGGTTGGCAACAACACCAAAAAGGAGAAAGAGGAAGCAGGAAAAAAGAACTGGAATAGATCAAATTAGATTCAAAACAAAATGCCAAAGGTGGATTTCATATTCTTCTTCTCTATTTCATAGCTTACCTTCGCACGATTTATTGTCACTCATAAGAGCATAACCAATGTAACATGAGCAGTGATAGCTGCCTGGCTTGTTGTAACAGATCTGTTTACATCCGCCATTGTGATCTGCACATTCATTAATATCTGGAAATGGGAAAAGATTGTTTCAGTTTCCAAACAAACTCCAGCAGAAGACAAGACATTCATCTCTTCATATGTATCATTTCATTAAATTCCACATGTTGTATATGCAAGATTTTATCATCTCTGGTTTAATTTTCAAGTCAATTTATAATGTGTAAATTTACTTATTTATGCAGTTATTCACAAGCATTCTCCTATACTGCATTAAGTTTTTAGGCTGAAGGAAACAAAAAGCTATGCAGAATCTCTTTCAATAAAGCCTTTGGCTATTCTATTTTAATGGGCTCATTGATCTATTTGCTAATTATTTCCTCTCTTGTCATGAGGAGTAAGATTTCCTAGAATAACTGTTAATCTCCATCTGGAGATTCCAAAGATTGAAATATTAATGTAAAAAAAAAAATCCATATTTTGTAAACACTATATTTTTCTTCATTTAAAAGTCAGAATTATATTAGTACATGTAGTCCTCAACTTACAAGTTTGTTTAGTGACCATTCAAAATTATAACGACATTGAAAAAAGTGGCTTATGACTGTTTTGCCACTGATGATTGTTGCAGTATAGTCATGTGATCAAAATTTAGATGCTTGGCAACCAACTCACATTTATGATGGTTGCAATATCCCAGGTTCATGTGATCATCTTTTGCGACCTTCTGACACGCAAAATCAATGGGGAAGCCAGATTCACTTAACAACTGTGTTACTAACTTAACAACTGCAGTGATTCACTTAATAAATATGATAACAAAGGTCATAAAATGGGTCAAAACTCACTTAACTCGCTTAGTGACATAAAGTTTGGGTTCAATTGTGGTTGTAAGTTGAGAACTACACATGCCAACAGATCAGACCTAGGCTTACCTTTATCACATGTCTCGCCTCCCCAGCCGCTCTTACAGTGGCAAAGGTATCCACCTTTCAGATCTTCACATTTTATAGTACCATCTCTATGACACGGGTTAGGAGAACATTGGTCTGGTAAATCTAGGGCAGAAAACAAACTTTGTAAAATGTTTATCCTTGTCTCATATTACTCAGAACAATGAGATTGGTATTACCCTTCAAACTAATCCCGAGAAGCCATTATTCTCTTGTATAAAGAGGAATAACATTTGTAGAATTGCATCATTGTATAATGTTATTTTCTAGGCCATATGCCCAATTACAGAAAAGGTATAACTCACCAAAGTAAATGAAGTTTTGCTCCAGAGAGCATTGTGGTTTTTTTAAAAAAAGAATGGAAAATATTTCTCAATTTACCTTCCTCATTGTAACTTTGAAATCAGCTTTCTGAGAAACTGTTCTCTGTTTGCTTCTTTTCCTCTCCCCGCCCCCCAAAAAAGTCCTAAGACTGCAATTGTTAATTTTAGGCGAGAGAAAAGCACCATCATCACACTTACAGTTACTATCTTACTAGAACACCCTGAAACTATGATACATATTGTTTGTATAGGGGTTCAATACGAACTCTATACATACATATACATGCCAATTAAATGTTACATTCAATAAACAAGAGACTGTGACCTAACACAGGACACTCCATGACCCTTTTTGCAGTAAGTGTGTATGTTTCACAGAGGTGCAAATTAGCCCACTTAATATGAATACACTTACATACATATATCAAAAAATGCAGCAATTCCCAAGTGCCTGCCACCCTTTTCTCCCTCATGACTGCATGTACAGCATGCACAAACATATACTAAAACAGGTAAATGCACAAAATATATAATAGTACACCATGAATCTTTCTTAAACAAACTAGCTAATTATTACATATCCTATATACCAAACAATAAAACTGTAAGGAATTTTATATTTTTTTAGCTTTTAAAACGATCAACTGTTTATATTCCACCCTCCCTATCCTGATCTATGACCATAATAAAGATTGGGCTGATAGGCATGGTAGATAGAAAGACAATGCTGAGGTAAAATTGCTTAGGAAATTTTTTATCAATAATGATCCCTGGAAATGTCTTCTTCAGAGCTGAAGAAGCTTCTTGGATGAGAAGAAAAACATCTTCAAGGAAAAAACAAAGTCCAGTTGCCTTTTGGAAAGAAGCACTTTTGGGATGCCTGAAAATGCATTCATGATTTTCTCTGTTCTAAATGCCACACTAAGTATTTTTATTCAATTGTTCAAATAAATTATTCTAATAATGACAAGGATGTAATAATACCTGTAGCCATGAATTTGGTTGTGCTATTTGGGAACCTACTGGCTCCTTACTGCATGTCACCAGGTACACAAGTAACATGTACACTAAGAAGAAAAGATCCTATATACAACTATTCACATTCTAATGTTTTCTGTATTTTTCTAATGGGAAGGAAAGCCATAATCTAGAACACAAGAGTAATATTGCTGACAGTCTCCCAAGTAGACCTGACAGGAAACACAACGAACAGCTAATTCTACTTTATTGTCGATCTATATTAACAGAATCTTGCATGTCTAAAAGTACAAACCTCCCACTGCTTGATATGTTAGGGTGAATCCCTTCTAAGTTTCTTTCTTTGACCATTATTTAGCTGCACGACCTCCCTGCCCAATCTGATTGTTCTTAGGTAGCATCTATTCCCCTTGTTTCCTAATGTCTTTCTCACATACCACATTATGTCTGCACACACAGAGATATCCCAACATTTTTTTACTTCTACATGGTGATTGATGGATAATAAGGTCAACAAATTGAACATTAGATTGGCTATTTAGACTTCTTTTTCAAAATTTCCTTTTGTTCTCAACTAATCATAAGGCTACCTCAAAGAAGATTATTGTTTATACTCCACAAGTCCAATCAGAGTTGGAGTCCTTATTCTGGAGTCCTTATTCTTTTATCAAAGCAAAACATTCTGATGTTGAGCAAGGCAAAATTCATAATTAAAAATGCTATCTAAGTACCCGCTGCCAAGATCAGACATACCTACAATATTTTTATCTTGAAACCCAGAAATAGTTACTGCTTGACAAGGTCAATATAAATGCTAAGTACTAATAAAAGCTAACACAAAGGCAATGTAACAAATATATTCTCCTTCCTCTCTTTCTGAAGTAAGCAAGCTCATGAAAAAGAAGCTGGCAAAAACTGAATGGAAGAACATCTAACATTGTGAAGGTGAATGACGAATAAATAAACCATTCCTGTGACCCCATTATACATTACTCTCACCAAGAAAATACCATTTAAAAACCCTGCCCGAAAATTATTACTTAGCAGGTAGAATTTTATTTCTGTAGTAGCTGAGGTTTTTGTTTGTTGACAGAAAACAACAGATCGATGGTGGACTTGCCTTATATTGATAACTTGGCAAGTTCACACTGTTCTTGCAAAAAAGCCCTGTTTCTCAACCGTAACAATTTAGGAATTGTAATGCTAGCTGGGGAATTCTAAGAATTGAAGCCCACATATTTTTAAATTGCTAAGTCTGAGAAATATAATATAAGAGGAAAGTAAACGCGTTAACGTTTCAGATACATTTTTCCTTCAAATGTAACTGTTATTATCATACTCAATATGAGAACAGGGCTGATGGGGCTCTCAATTTTTTTTGATGCATTTGATATTTTTGCTCTGCAGGGGAAAAAAGAATGATGCTCCCTGATAACTATAGTGTTATATTATGCAGTACATTTCCACTCTGCACATTGTTGCTTAGTGTTCATGTTTCAAACCGGAGATGAAGTCATTAAACACAACAGTTTTATAGTAACAGCTATTATTTGCTTTCTCTTTTAGTGAATTTTGTACCCAAGTATCCATATTAAAAAAAAATAGACTGGTCATGGAACAATTACATTAGAGACTATCCCAAATTACTACATTAATTGTATTGCAGCCTAAATACGCAAAAGTACATTAAAGGGAAAAAAAAACTAATCTCTAGTGCCAATTCTATCTAAGAAAAAAACCTAGTACTTACTTGAACCACACTATACAGGCAGACAGGATACATTTTCTACATGGTAAATAAGCGGTTCTCATCTTTATGTTATTATAAAATCCAAATCAGACTTTCAGTGTTTCTCCTTTCATAATCTAAATATTAAAGATGCATTTTGCTATTTTTTTCATTTAGATTCAAAAGGATCCAGGAAATTACAACATTGCCATAGGCAAGCTGTTATATTTGAAGCTCTGTAAGTAAGAAACATACTTCTGTAACAGATTGAGATAGCAGCTTGCCTAAGGCAACTGAGCATGGCTTTAAATCTGTTCTTTTTTGTTCTATTCTAATCCACCTTTCAATAATACAGCCTTGCCAAGACTGTTTTCAAAGGAAATTCTCTGCAGGGTATTGTTAAGATTACCAAAACACGTGAAGCAATTGAACATTCAGGAAAAGGACACTTGTATATTTCATTTTATAGCTTTTAGGTATGCTTTGTCTTTCAAGTATCTTTTTGGTTCTGTTTTTCAGTCTCATATAAGCAAAAGTTTCAAATAATATTTCTGCCTGCAAAATTTCGTAAAGAGCCAGAAAAGTGGAAACTTAAAGGACTGGTAGAGAAACATCATGCACAGTCACCTTACTTTTTCTCTAGTATGCTGAGACTATGCATCAGAAACATTTGATACTGTTTATTCTTCCAATGGAAATAATTATCATAACAAGCAAACCAGTATCGAGTTCATTATACTATGCTCTTGAATATTACATTCAATGTCCTCCATGAACAAAAATACTAGAAAACCCTGGCAACTATTCACATATTAAAACACACAACTTCCTGATCATTCTATTGAAAATCTGGCTCTCCCATGCTTAATTACGTAATGCTTCTACAGCGCTTTCTAACTTCTTCAATTACAGGGAAATATATTCCTTGTAATTGCACATGCCCTCAAATATGAAGATTTGTTTCTCGGTAATCAGCTTTGGTATCATGGGACAATTAAGAATGGATTCACATGACCATATAATTGTTTAGCATGAGTTGGGGATGGTGGGGGGGTCATTACAATATTTGTATAACCTTAAATTAAATCCAGTATAGTCTGTAATACTGGAATACTGAACACTTGGAATACTGAACCCATTTTCCCTCAAACTGGAGTTCTACACATTGAGTCAACCACATTCTTTCAGCCTAACTACCTCACAAGATCATTATAAGAATTGCATATTCCACCTGGCCTCCATATGCCAATAACAGAAGTGTTGCATAGCGCTGCAGATTTAAATGCAAAGGGGGGACTTCAGAATGCACATAATATACAGTACAAGAACCCATCTACAACTACTTAAACCAAAAGTGTATTTTCATGGAAACACACAACAGCTGCAAAGGAAAGCTATGCAATCCCCCGGCATCTATTTTAAAGAGATGCAGATAAGCATGATGGCAAAATGTAGATACAAAATTACAACATGCACAAGATGTCATCAGGCCAATATCACCACTACATACGTGCATCTTCATGTCTTGAATACAATATTGTGTGATGATGTCAGCATGGACATGTTATCAATTGTCAACCCACCACAGATGGGTAGGTACAGTAGGTATTACCTGAAAAATTCTTTTGTTGCCTTTGAATCTGAAGCGCTGTACAACTGGTGAAATAACTATAATGTGCAACATAATAAATAATGTCTTAGGATAAGTTTAGGGTGTTCATTTCATCTTGACATAAACAAAAAATCAGATGAAGAAATTTAATTGTATAACATTTTTATGTAGTAATGTTTCACTGACAGGTAGAAACATTTGGGGATGCCACGGAGTACTTTGATCTTTTGAAGAAATGCACCCAAGAGATGATATCTGACTATGATAAAGAAACCAGATAATGTAGATTGACTGAAATGGCCTTTTAATTGTTGAAGGAAACCACTGTTCAACATCTTCTTTAATGGTCCTTGCAGGTTCCCATCACAAGTGTTTGCTACACTTTCAAACCTACTCAACAATTCACTAATTGATGGGTCTTTGGTGCTCTCTGAGCTTGTTTTCTTGAAGACATTTCATTACCCAAACTGGGTAACATATCAATGCTAGCTAGTAAAGAGTGGGGTTTGCTCTCAGTTTATATTGCCCTGTCAGTTTTGGTGCGGGTGGTCTTAGAAGTTCTTTGACTGAGTTGTGTACTGTTGACTTGCAGTTTCTTGATTGGGGTATTTACCTGGTTGTTGGTTTGATGTTAACCTTGGAGTTAATACATGCTCATCTGAGTGCTGATTGCTACTAGAGAGGTGCTTAGGTGTCTTTGTTCCCCTTTTGGCTTGTTGATTATCCTTTGTGCAGAGGCTATAGATATTATTTATGTCTATTTGTCTGTTGATGGCTAATCTGTCAGAGTGCCAGGCTTATATAAATTCCCTGACGTTTTTGGACTTGGCTTGATCTAGGATAGTCATAGTTTCCAACTGAAACTATAGTTAAGTCTGTCCATATGTCATGGAATTAAAGAGTTTTCATGATGTCTTCGGATTACTAGTTGGTATTCATGAATGTGTTTTGCCAGTCTTCTGTTTGTCCTACATCATGGTTGCTGCAGTCATTACACTGTATGTTGTAGATGATTCCTTTTTTTTTTTCCTGGGGCTGCTGGGTCTTTTGGTTTGCTTAGGATGTTTTGAAGGGCTTTAGTTACCTTGTGTGGTATTCTGATTCTATGTGGTTGTAGTAGCCTGTTGTGGCTTCCGAGATGTTCTTGGTGTATGGCAGTGTTATTCTTTTTAGAATTTATGTTAATTGTGCTGTATTGGATTGATTGGTCAGGCACTTTTTGATAAAGTTGCATGGATATCCGATTTGTTGGAATGTGTTGCATAGATGCTCTGTTTCCTTTTTCTGTTGTTCATAGATTAATTCCAAGATTAACATCACACTAAAAATCAAGTAAACAATACCCCAATCAAGAAATAGCCAAACAAGCCAACATTACTCAGCTCAGCCAAAGAATCTCTAAAACCACCCCCACCAACACTGACAGGGCAATATGAACAAACCCCAGTACTTACTAACACTGATGTTGTTACCTAGTCTGGGTAATGAAACGTCTGCAAGAAAACAACTAAAGTCAAAGAGCACCAAAGACCACTCATTTCAACCCTATGCTACAAATATTCTCCTTTAAATTGCTAATAATCACAGAAGATGAAACCATGTCACCTTTGCAATATCTGAGACTAGTTGTTGATATGTATTTATCCTTCTTGAGTTCAACTCTTTTGAACAGTAGTAAGTGAAACACTGGCAAGGAGAACCAGCATTAGCTTTTGCTAATACTAAACTGATTAAAGACAGAGGGGAAGAATCTAGGTCGGAGGTTTTCAGAAATCTGAATTTGGGATTTCTACTGGACTAAGATGGTTTTGTATTGAGCAATTGTGGAACTGTGGGATGCTTTTGAAGCATGTGCCATCTTTTATAAATAATACCTTTAAAATGTTTAATTCTATGTTTCCTTTTTAAAGTTTTATACAATTTTCAATCTTTTTTCTTCAACTCTACTTAAAAAAACACCCTCTTCCTACTTAAATTTTGATACTAAAATGTGTGTGGGGGTTGATTTAAAAAAGGATTTTCCATCAAATTATCTATTATTATCTATCGGTTTCTCTTTAAATATAGTACTTAAAATTCACTTACGATAGAACGATAGTATAATTTCTCTGTTTTGTTTTCTGTTCATATTTTGCCTGATAAATCATAGTTTGAGCTCACATGCTTGGGTTCAAAGTAACGTCCTACAAAATTAAATTTGATACTTAAGCTAAGTATACATAGGACTGAAGCCCTTCTCTCTTTTTAAAACAATCCTTCTTTTTAATCTTCACAATGTCTCTGAATTCTTTAATCCTGAAAGGACACTCAAGGGAATTCAAATCCATGCTCAAAACCATTTACTTTGAAATATTATGAGTCTTTTAGAAATAAATTATGTATTTTCATCTACATTTTGAAATTGATTTAAAACCTTTCTTTGCTGCATCTGTGCCCCAAATTTCCACAACAAGGGATTCCTTTACTTTAATTAGTGCCTTCTCTAGTTGTTTCCTCTGCTATTACCTCCTTGGCTTCCCATAGATTTACTTTGGTTTTTTCCTTGTATAATTTCCAATCTGCATGCGTCTTTTCCTGACACTCTATCTTGGTTTATCTTCACATAAGCTTTACAACTTTGCTTGTACAGAGGCATATACAGACTGTCAGCACAATCACCAATTACTATTTAAGACATTCTGCACACTTCTGTGGCTCATACTGTCATTGTACATCATGTTCTTGAATCTTTCCTTTCAGCAGCTAAACATTTAAGTAATATTATACAAATAGTCCTGCTGTGCATTTTATTATGATTCACCAAATTGTCCAAAACCATCTGGTTAATCTAAACCAGTGTTTCTCAACCCTGGCAACTTAAAGATATTAAAGTTGTCACGGCTGAGAAACACTGATCTATGCCATAGCCTTCTGTAACATCCAACTGCAAACCATGGTTAAGAAAATAATAGTACATAGCTTAAACACTAAAATATATTAAGCTCAGTAAAATAGAAGTATCCAATGCCTCTGAAAAGCAATGCTCAACTTAAAATTGGAGGCTAAGCCACAATTCATTTGCATTTATATTTTACTTTTGGAAATTTTATCAAGATGTTTTAAAATCACAGTTTAGCACTGTGTATGCATGCAGCAAGTACCAGTGAGGGAAAGAAAATGGGAAAAATAGGGGATACAAGATCCACTTGGGCACATACTTGTAATATTAGACCACTATTTAGCATCATATACAAACTCTCAATACTGTAAATTATTAAAAGCAGTCTGGAGCATGAATCACCCCCCATGCTAGACCCACACGGGATGTTACAAATGCCTAAAAGATAGAAAGATGAAAAATGCTTACTATGCACACACGTATGTAAATTTGGACTTCTTGTAGCTGGTGACCCATAGTCCTGAATACAGTCTAAAGAAAATGCAAAAAGTATTATTAAACCATATGCCAAAATGGACTGATTTCTAATTCCCCATTCAGCATGTTTGCTCTTCTACTGAATTATTCATATGTGTATAGATATATCTATACATCCATAAATATAGCTGCACTTTTATTTTAGAATATGATTCTTCCATTTTCTAATATTATGTAGGAGATGGCTAGGTTGAGCCTGAGGGTGGGAACAAACATGTCATAAGTCAAGATTTCTGTATTTTTTTAAAGAAGGGGAATGATGCGTGGATCATTGCAAAAGATCATAATACGCGTGTACAGATTACGCCTGGCAACAAACAACACTATCATACATGAATAAGGTGTAACTGCAACTCACCCAAATATTTCGGGTAGAAATAATCCTGTGTGAGAAAAAAAAAGCATTTATTGGAAAGACACATTTAATCTAAAGTGACATTCAGATTAAAATAAAGGCTAACAGTTTAATAATGGAGCAATACAATTTGAATGGAATGTTAGGTGTTTCCTCAATCTATTGATCCCATTACCATTAAACAAAGCATTTTTGCTTTTATAGAGCCCTGAGTCACACTACTGAAGGTTAATGGCTGAATACTCCTGAGTAAACACCCAAGTTTATACTGCTTACTCATCAATAAATTTGCTGATTAAGGAAACTTGAGCTGCCCGCTTGAAAACAAAGGTTGTGAGTGATCCACTGCAGTTTCAAAAACATATTGGGGACAACAGCAATATTGGAAGGAAGGAAGGAAGTGAGTAGTCAAGATTTAGTTTCTTGTTTTGCTGTTTGCTGTTAAATTCTCCAGCTGCAAAATCCGGAACAATCCCCTTAGTTATAGGAAAAGAAAGGAAAGTTTCAATTTTAAAGCAGAATTATAAACCCTCAAGTCAGCATATGTTATCATCACTAGGACAGTTGAGTTCTTCCTTAAAATGTGGGCTTATAATTGTTACTTCAAACTTTTGAGTAACCACTTCAGTCTTCAACTGAAGACCAATGTCAAAAACAGCCCCCAGAATACATTCCAGGAAAGAAGTTGGTACTAAAAATAATGTACCTTATGTGAGTAAGGATTCCTGAATAACAGACCAAATAAGCAACAAAGATGAAATGTCCATGCCTTTAAGGAATGTAGAAGTGGCCACGGAACAATACTTAGTCTTTATAAATTCAAAGCCAAACCTGTCCTTTATTTCTCTCTTTTGGAAATGAAAAGGGTAGAAGATCATACCCGCAATAAAAACTGCCTTCAACTGCACATAATGATTTTCACAATGTGAACCTGTATATGACAGGGTTTCTATGGCAATGCTTAACAATGTGTCATGGGTGCCATGTTAATTGATGCAACACTGTAAATGAGTAGAAAAATGACAGTATGATAAGGAATTGGTGACAGACAATTTGGTGTGAAGAATATAGTGGTACACATAACAACTACAAGTTGATGCAACAGTAACACAAAACTCAAGAAAGAATGGATATTCTCCACATGTATACATTATGGTATTTAACATATCTGATTACACATTTTCCTTCAGTCCATTTAATCATTTCTAAAGAACTTCATCTTGAATTTTTTTGAATATCAAAACATTTTAGCAAAAAAAAAAAGAAAAAGACTTGGAGATAGAAACAGGCTTTTTCTGCTTATACATTTCAAACAGAAGGTCAGTGAATTAATGTTTATGTTCGGTTTACGCTAATGGAAGCAAACACTTACTGACATGTTACAAAAATGTTAGCATTTAACATTACAAGATTATCCATTATTTTGGCCGAATACTTGAAAACAAAATCAGAAGTTGGAGGGAGGGGGATTTAATTTTATCCTATGTTCATTTTTAAATTAAGTGTTTTTCAACCAACCCAACAGCATTTATAAATAAGTGTCCTTTTCCCAAAACATAAACTAAACATTATGTAGTTTATTTATACGTTAGAGGTTCCCTGAGTACCAGAAAGGTAGACAATTTATTAAGGCAAATTAGAAGTTAAGTGAAAAAATGTAAAACTTACTCTAAAAGTTTATTTTTCCAATTACAATCAGACTCAATAGATTTTAAGCACAAATAAAAACAGGAGTTAAATTCTAATATAAGATGATAACAATGATAAATAACAATTACAACAAGTAGAAGTATATGAAGAGACAATAATTTATGTTCAAGATCTAATCTATATATGCCCCAAAGGATATATTTCATATAGGTGTTTTCCAGATATTTTGCATTAGAACATATAAATCTCATTTAAAACGGCCATTTGAATGCAAGTCATGGAAAATGTAGTTCAACATCAAGAGACTATGTATCTGTAAATTGGTTTTCTTTCCAACATGTAATTCCTATTACAGGTAGTCCTCGACTTATGACCTCAATTGAGCCCAAAAGTTTGGTTGTGAAGCAAGACATTTGCAAAATGAATTTTGCTCCATTTTGGGACCTTCCTTGCCCCAGTTGTTAAATGAATCACTGCAGCTGTCAAGTTAGTAACATAGTTGTTAAGTGAACCTGGATTTCCCATTGACTTTGTTTATCATGTCACAAATGGTGATCACATGAACTTTGGGACACTGAAACCGTCATAAATATGAGTTGCCAAGTGTCTGAATTTTGTTCACGTGACCATGGGGATACTGCAATGGTCGGAAGTGTGATAAACGCTCATAAGTCACTTTTTTCAGTGCCACTGTAGCTTTGAAAATCATTGAATTAACTGTTGTAAGTTGAGGACTACCTGTTCAAATTAATGAAATTATAAATGTTTAAATTAAGGTTTTGTTTTCTAAATAATTCTGTTTATCTAAAACAAGCAAAGGATTATATATTGAAAGAGATAATTAGTCAGCTCGAGTCTCTCTTTTAAAATTACTTGACATCCCTGAATGCTCTTTCTAAGTGGCATTCTAAGTCACGAGACCTCTATGAGCCATTGCGCAGTGCCAACAGCACCATCTTCACTTGGAGCCATCACCCTGTCATCTCCATTGCCTCTGTCCTGCTGCCTCCTCTCTGGCCAAGCCTGGCAAGCTCCCTTTGACAAATGAGGATCTGCCACCCATCATGGTCAATGCATGCATCCTGGGGCCACGCCTTTGCCCAGGGCTTGGATCAAGGATGGGAAGCAGGAGGAAGAAGATGGCGAAGGTCAGCAGGGGTAGGCAGTAACAGCAGCCAAAATGCAGGGCAGACATGAGGGAAGGTAAGCAGATGGGGAAGTTGAAGTACATGTTGTGGTCATGAATGAAGACTGGTTGCCAAGCGTCCATTTTGATCACATGACTGTGAGAGTGCTGCAATGGATATATAACTGGTCATATCTACCATTCGTGTAGTGCCTTCACAATTTTTGTTGTTAACTGGTTCTGTATTCTTTGGTTTTTGGGGTTCTTTTGTAGTTGGGTTTCTAAATCCTTAATTTCTTGTTGTAGGTTACTTTGTTGGGCATACTTTCTTTTATTTCTCATAGCATTGTAAGAGATTGTTATTCCTCTTATAAATGCCTTTAATGTGTCCCATATATTTTGTTTCGAAGTTAGATCATTATTATTTTCCTTTAAGAAGTTCAGTTCTTCTTTCAGTTTATTAGTATATTCTTCTTCTTTTATTAAATGAGTGTTAAAAGTCCATCTTTTCTTTGGTTTTCTTCTACCTTTCCAGGTTATTTGAATTGGGTTGTGGTCAGCCCAGTCATTTGGTAAGATTTCGCTATCTTTGATTTCATTAATTAATTCACCGTTTATCCAAGCCATATCTATTCTTGTCCAAATTTTGTGTGGGTTAGAATAATTAAACTGTTCTTTTTTGAGATTTAATTTTCTCCAGATATCTACCAGATTCATTTCATTCATCATATCCTTACATGGCTTAGAGAATTCTCTTTTTCCTTTTTTGTTCTTACTCCTGTTACTATGATCCTTCCGGTAGTCAGCAATAGAGTTAAAATCGACAATCAGGAAAATATTGCCATTTTCAAAATCTATTATTTTTTGGTGGAGATGTTTAAAAAATTTATAATATATACTCTGGTTTCTCTTCAGATCGTATAAATCTTTCGCCTTCACAATTTTAAATGGTTGCTGAACGAATGGTTATTAAGTGAGGCCTACTTGTAGTTTTCTTTCTTTTTTTCCAAATCAGATTTGTAGAAGCTTAGGATTTGTTGCTTATGTCAAGGAAGTATTCCTAACTAAGTTGTCAAGACCAGTCTACACTAGAAACTTATTTCGATTGATGGATTTTGAGCATTAAGTGACTCACTAACAAAATACATGGCAAGAGTTTTAAAGTAATGACTTAAACAGAGGGAAAGCACTGCTGAGCTTCAGCATGTACTATAAAGCAAATTATTCTTTCAAGGTCTGATTGAAAAGTCGATTCTATTTGTTTGCAGCTTCACCTGACCTAGGTTCATAGTAATGTTTGTGTTTCTATGACATTCAGCTTTATAAATAAGACATTTCTGTCCTCACTGGTGATCCAACTGTGTTTGGTAGACTGGAACAGATCTTTGCTAAACTACTGAGTCATAATAGATGATTAATACTTCATTTCATAGGCTGATTGGTCATTTTCAGAGCCACACAAACTAGGCTAAGCAAAAAACACATTTTAATCTAGTCTGTTCTTACTGTTCTAATAATAGAAATCTGTGCAACAAAAAAACATTGTTGCCAAATACACACACTTTCTGATAATAGATTAAACTGATATAATAATGGCCAGTTTAGGAGGTCCTAATGGATTCGATTTCTGAACAAAGTGAAGAAATGTGATTTGATCATAGAAAATGCACTTTCCAAGTTACAGTCACAGAGCATTTTATTTTTTATTAAATTTATATGCCATCCATCTCATTTTCCAAAGCGACTCTGTCGGCCAATGCATTATACTGCATCTACTCTGTAGGTGCTACACAGGTGCTACAAAGCACTTTTTTTTTGCTTCCACTCCAAACCAAAAAAACAGTCTTTAGTCAACAGTTATAAATGTTAAATAATTTGCAAGGGTAGAAGAAATATACATCCATCCATTATCTTGAGGATCTACAAAAAGTAATTTTTAGGCAGGGATGGACTGGGTAGAAAAGAGAGTGTTTTTTATAAATTAGTAAATAGCAGACTGTAATACCAAGAGTCTAGCACTGTGATGGCGAACCTATGGCATGCATGCATGCATGCCGGAAGTAGCATACAGAGCCATCTCTCTAGGCAGGTGAGTCATTGCCTGTTGCTCTTCTTCACATGTGCATGTGTGCTGAAAACCAGAAGACCAGGTGGCTGGGGAGCTGCTCTTCCAGTTTCCAGTGCTTTCGACTGCACGCATGCAGACGGATGCTCCTGTTTTGGCACTTGGTGACGAAAAAGTTCGCCAACAC